CACAAAATCTACTCAAAATTCTTCAGATTATCACTTTAGCTAAAGGCAGCAGGAACTGCAGCAAGTTTTAATGAAGTCTGAACGATTGTGACTTTTAATGAGCATCTTTTGAATCCGTCTCCCTTCTTTCTCAGGCGCTTTCATAACTCGCTGACAGACAACAAACGGTGGATCAGAGAGAGGAGTCACGAGTCGTATGCTAAGAACTACTCTTTAGTGTTCCCCTTTGATGAGCCGCTGGCCAGCCGAAACATGAGGAAGGATCCTTTCCACCAGGTAGGTCAGTGGTTTGATCTCCAGTGCAGACAGTTAATCAGTGTTTCATGAGGAGTTCAAGGAAGTGACCCACATGCTTTGTCTTTGTGCTGGGAGTTAGTCACACTCCTTTCAGCTGTGGTGTGAGTCACGGATGAGTTTGAGATAAGCGCAGAAATGATAAAAGAACTACTGTATGAACAGGTAGTCTAGCAAATGGTGACAGAGAGCACAGGACTCATGCACGACTCAGGCACAGATGAAAAGTTTAAACCTTTTTATTAAAGTTAGGCAGGCAGAAGCTGGTAAGTAGGTGGGTGAAGGGGAAGAAGATACGCATGTTTTTTTTTTTTCTTTTTTCCTTTGAGATAAACATTAAGCCTAACCTTGGCTTCCTTAAAGCTTTTTTTAGTTGGGTAATCGTCAGGGCATTTACTTACTGTGTCTGTCTTGATTTAGACAAACATGCATGCTGGTTTGTGGACCAATATCCAGTCCATGTTTTTCCCTGCATGTAACTTGACCTGTCATTTCCGATTTCTTCCCTCTGTTACCCATCTAACTTTTGCACTTTTCTCCTTCAGTCACTCAGTTTTCTTCATCTATTCATTCAGGTTTTCGTCAGATTCACACAAGTCTGCTTCCCTTTTTTCTTCTTCTCGTAATTGTGTTGCTTTAGTTATTCTCATTAAAGTCTGCATTTTATGTGTTTCCCCTTTCTTTCTCTTTCTACACTTCTGCTACCACAACATCTGTCTGGCTAGCTGAGACAGAAATGTGCAGATAGAACAAATCTACATATAAATGATGCTGCTGAAACCCTAGCTTGTCACATTTCCATGTGTGTGAATGTCATAAAAGGGACTTAAAAGACTTGTGAGAGATATAGGCATACAAGTGTTTGTAAACTCGAGGTTTGGGACACGGGGATCTCACTCTCTTATTCCGTTGCCTTTGTTCAAACCTAGAGGCAGCTGATTCAAGCAGAAGGCAGTTAGAGGTGTAAGTTATCCCCAGCAGTTACATTTAATAATGCAACCCCTGCCAACATGAATCTAAATGCTACACTTAGTTTCAGTAGCCTGGTCTCAGATGTCTTTCAGCTTCCCCTCCCTCCTGAGCCTGGCACAAACTTTTAATGGGCCCCACTACCACACTTTATGCATTAATGATCCACTTAGACATGCTTTCCTATTCCAGAATTCATTTACATTTAACGGTTGCAATTTGTACCCCCACTCGGAAATGTAGGCATCTTTTCATGAAAGATTATTAACACAAATTCCATTAGTAACATTGCCAATTTGTCTTGTAGCTTATATCGTGTGCTTTCTCAGAGTTTGCTTCGTTTAAATATATGAGGGGGTTTTCAACATCTGGTTTTTGCTCTTCACTATGAAATAAAAATAATTTGTAATCATTATAACTTAAGTTTGCCTTATAGTCATTGGAAGATCTTGTTGTTTACTTGGATCTATGAGTATAGGTTTCTTTGTGTTGGGGAAATAGTAAAATGAAGTCAGATTGAGCAAAAAGTCAGTAAAAAGCAAAAGAATTTAAGCCTTACTTACAGTCATGGTAAAAAGTACATACACCCTCTTTCAATTATAAGGTTTAAATATTATGATTTAATCTGGTTGTTAGCAGATCTTTGAATCAAGGAAATAAAACCTGAGATGAACAACAACAAGTACCATTTTACACCATGTCATCGTCTATTTAAAAGAAAAATAATCCAAAATGCAAAAGCAGGTTGTGGAAAAAACAAAGTACACCTTACTGCTTCCATAGCAACTAAGAGGGCAAATAGCAGCCAGGTGTTGCTAATCAAATGCACTTGATTAACTGATCAAGTGTAAAGTTTTGGCAGGTCGGGAGTAGTCAGAAATGTGTTAACACAGACATCAATGATAGCGGTGAAGTGACTGTTGCTGCTTTCTGTCTGGGAAGGCTTACCGTGCTATTTTGAAGCCCATCCTTGTACAGTGAGAAAGGTTACTCAAGTGGAGCCAGTCTTCTCGGGGGTGGATGTCCCAGCAAATTCACCCCAAAGCCAGACCGTGCAACGCTCAGAGAAGCTGCATAAACCCAAGAGCTACCTCTCGCGTCTACCGTGGACTCTTCTGTATACTAAATCCACGTATAGGCAAAATTGGGTCATGCGACAGGACAATGATCCCAAGCACAGCAGCAAATCTGTAACAGGATGCGACTCAAGACGTTGCACCGAGTCAGTGCAATGACTGAAGTTTTAAAGAGTGGGCCAAAAAATTCTCTATGGCTAAATCTATTACTTCAGGTTAATAGTGATAAAGGTGGTTTGTATAAGCTTTTGCTTGGGGTATACACATTTATTTCACACAAAACTAATGACGTGGTGTATTATATAATATGATTGAGAGAGCGTTTACTTTATTTTTTTACCATCCATGAGTGTCTAGTACAACAACAAGTAATCTTTTCATGTGTAACACACCTGTGACCTTTCCTATTTAACACAAGACAAAGGTTTAATGTATTGTGGCTCGGAGGTACTTAAGGGTTGGATCAAGCGGGGAAGCTATGCAAGTAATGAGACTGTCTAGCTTTAAGAGGCAATATGGGATTATTTCAGAGCACATGCAGGCCATCTCTGACACTGCTGCTCACACGTTTTCTCCACCTCGGTAGCACAGATGGTAAATATAGCCTAGTGTGGGAAGTTTTGGCAAGAGACTGCTAGATGCCTGCTAGGAGCAGAGCATAGCAGAACATACCTACCGACTGTGGGCGACTGTCAGTTTAACAAGGAGCCCTGATATATCTTATCTAAAGACTGAAATAAGAAGAAATAAGAAGTTTAATATTTCTGCAGCAATTTATGGAAAACTAACAGTGTACTTTCACTCTTATTGATTCCTGTGATGTTAGATTAGAGTTTTATTGTTTAGGCCATACAATCTTTTCTCTTTTTGACAGAATGTACTGTATTATCTTTATACTGACAATGGATCAAAAGACTGGGTGTGATGGGGGGGGGGGAGGTTTGCTTGTTGTGACTAAACCACAGAGAACTATTATCACAATACCTCTCAGCTAGAGTTTTTCAATTCATGCTGGAGAACAGAGCTTAAAGGAAATTGTAGTTCGATCCACAGGTGTCCAGAAATACAGCATCGACTGTGTTCATGTATGTTTTCTTCTTTTGGAAATTGTCAACTGTTTGCCCCCACTTCGCCCTCATTTAAAGTGTGAGAGTGTGTCCAAGTTTTGTGTTAGTTCATCATGTTGACCTCTAGTGAATAAATAGCAATTCTTCAAAGACAGCCACGAACTGCTTTTGCTGTACTGTACTCCGTATGTGTGGTTGTTTTCAGGTGCTCACAGAGCAGGGCTGCATGTTCCAAGAGCGGCATGGCTGGGAGAGACCTGGCTGGTTCAACAAAGAAGGACCTGCTCCTGTGAGAAACACACTTACACTGCACATATTCTGAATGCTATACATAGTCGCAGGCACACTTTTATATAATTGCCCCGGTGATATTTTTTCAGAAGCCATGCTGGATAGAGGCTGTTAGAACATACTGACTGCCAATAATGGATGATGCTACCACAGTGTCTGGCTCAGTTCTACATCTTGCCTTGTTTCGTGCGAAACCGTAATGATTAATTAGCTTCTAATTGTTTGTGTCATATTGCACAGGTTAAAGACTATGATTATTACGGAGCTTACGATGTGAAGAGGAATGAAAAGTACAAATACGATGAACTGCTAGGTCAAGAGTACACCTTTGACTTCCCTCCACATCATGACGTGGTAAGAGACAGTACTAAGAGTAAATGGTATGTGTGGGTGATCGATAGTGCAGTATTACCGTGCGGTCAGATGAGTATAAACGCACTGAAGGCTTCTAAGGGGAAGTCGGTGAGTTTAATGGTGTTTAAATGGTATCGAGGGAGAACACACGCTAACTCAGCAGCTTGCAGGATTAAATTAGAGGAGAGAATGCTAACCTTGATTTTAAAATCTCTCTTCACTGCTGTAATGAATGTTGCCTTCAGGGATCTGACAATAACATGCATTCTTCTTAGAAACATCATGCTTTGCAGAGTTGGGACAGTTTGTTTTTATCCTTTTGCTATCATGTTCTTTTTGTTTTATTTTTATTTAGATTAAGAACGAGTGCCTCTCATGTAGACACAGTGTGGCTGTGTTTGACATGTCCTACTTTGGAAAGTTCTATCTCACTGGACCCGATGCCAAGAAGGCAGCTGATTGGCTGTTCACTGCTGATGTCAACAAGAAGCCAGGTCAGAGTAAAAAAAACAAGAAAGAAAGATTGACAGAATAAAAAGGGCAGCTACGTGCATAGAGTTATGAAAAAGATGCCAACAAGCGAGGCATAGCAGCCTTCTACACAGGACTAAGTACCAGTATGTAATGTGTCTGGTATGCTGTTAACAGTGGCGACAAATGTCTCTACTGCTTCATTTTCTTGTATTCTTGTCACAATCAGCAAACTGACAACAGTGTCTGAATCCTACCATTGTGCAGATATGAAAATGGAAAGCTGCGTTCTTTACATTGCTACTTTTTTGGCCCCAGAGCCTTTCCAAAGGTGAGATCAAGTTCTGAAGAAGTGAGAAGACAGATAATCCTTTTAGTTTTAAGCCTCTCTGTTACTTTCCTGTATGGATTTAAAAAATGTATGACACCGGCATCTGCTGAGGTTCGGCACACTCGCATCTTTATAACTTGAACCCCCAAGTGTTTTTCTCTTTCTGTTTGTAGTCTTCAGACCTGATTAAAACTAGTAATAACATACTTTCTAAGAGTGCATGAGGGTCTGTTAAAGACAGCCTGTATGACTAGGTCTGTCTCTACCTCCATCTGTACATGTGTGGTCAAGTGCCACTGCATTGAAATCATTCCAGATTTGGAAAAAAGAAATACATTTCTTGTTACTTATCACAGAAAGCAAACTCAAAACAGCTAGAAGTCTGAGCTAAAGTAAAATGAAAACCAAGGGAAAGGTTAACCCCTCTTTTTAAAGAAAGAAACAATCACAACAAACATCCAGCTTCACATAGGAAGTAAATTGCAACATCTATTTCCCATTTTCCCAGAAAAAAATAAAGAAATGAGGTGTGTCCCAGGACTTTTGCACAGTACTCTGCTACAAAAAAGCAGAGTTTTATGAGTTAAGAGGATCAGAGCCACGATTATTGTTCCTTCAGAACAACTAAGTTGTGAACTTAGTGTCAGTACACTTGAATGTATTAAATATTCATCCCTGTTCACACATAGAGCACGCTTCCATCAGTATGTTTCCACTCAACAGCATGCTTAAAATACGTCTGCAAAGTCTGCAGCACGTATTAATTGTTTGTGTGTGTGTTGCAGGTACCACTGTGTATACCTGCATGCTGAATAAAAGAGGAGGGTCAGAGGCCGACCTGACTGTGAGCAGACTGGAGCCTGGTGTGGCCAACCTGCCCCTGGCACCAGAATCCAGCGGTGAGAAATAGTGTGTAGACGAGTGTGTTTCACAGTTATTTGCTGCACTCTTTACCTATTACTGTTATTTCATTCATCTCCCTATCTCCGCATCACTATTTGTCAGCTTAGCTGTTGTATTTTGTTTATTGGATTTAATAATGTGCTATTCTGTTTTATCTTATTTCAGACTTATTGTTATTTTTTTCCTCTGTTATTTGTGGTTCTTTCGCCCAATCAGTACTGTTTATCCACATTTATTAATTATTTTTACTCTTGTCTCACTCAAGAAAAGAGAATATCATGAAAGATGTGTCTCCTTTTGACGTTACACAGCAGTAGCTTGTTTCTTTATGTTGTCATTTTGACTCCACTACATCAAAAAAAGCCTGGAAAATAACATCTGTTCAGGTATATTTCTATTACCACAGCTGCAGATTGAAAAACCCCAGGGAGCACATGAATCACAGGAGATAAATTAATTTGTTAAGTAATTAATGTTGCGTAATGACATCTTAGGTGGGAAGCAGCAATTAAAATGCCATGAAAAAGTTGCTGCCGCTCTATTAATTATGCAAATTTCTTGACAAGTCCTGCTGAATATATCTACATAAAGTAAGTGGAAGGATTCAACAGAGTCAACTTTCAAAACATCTTAATGTAATAAACTCTGTTATCTCATCATCAGATCACCTAATGTAGCTGTCAGCTGAGATTCTTCACACTTGTGATTACAAACTGTATGCTATAGATAAAGTGGTTTCATGTGTCTTTCTCTTTCTTATACTTGACCTGATCGCCATCTGACTTTGCTCCAGGTGATGCATATTACCTGGCCATTGGAGGCGGTGTGGCAGAACACAACTGGAACCACATTAAAACAGTTCTTCAGGATCAAGGCTTTCGCTGCCAGTTGACGGACCACTCTGAGGACATGGGGATGATCAGCATCCAGGGGCCCAAAAGGTGAGGAAAGCAAGAGGGTTAGAAGTGAATGTTAACTCTGGAATGACTTATATCCAGATGAGAAATGAACAAGAGAACAATTGAAGGTGTGTATCCAACTGTTAAGAGACTGTAGGGTACTGAGACCTTTGATATCAACTCTGACCTGAAAAATCCTTGTAAACCTTGTGAAGTTCAGGACACCTGGGGTACCTTGCTCAGTATGCAGTCTACTACTGCATGATACCACCTCATCGTACATTTACTGGTTAGATTATATTTTTAGGGCTTCTCAAGTTCACTCTTCTGCACCTCAGAGCTGAAAATAATAAATCCCATGAAGGTTTGCATCAGCTTCCAAGTTGAACACTAGTGATGAGTTTCAAGGATTAAGTGTTAATTCTGCTGGCTTACATAAATAATTTTCAATAGACTGTCAATGATGCAGTTTGTCAGAGATTTTGAGAAAACGGGTGCAGTGATTTATTGAAACATGTGCAGACACAACGGAAATCCATTAATAAGGCAAAAACAGAGTTGCACTAATGGAAAGTTCTGCAGGCTTCTTGACGGACATTCAAAGCTCTTCTTTGGATGCTGGATGATTTTTGCTCGCTTCAAGATGATCACAAGCTGCTTCAATAATGTTGAGATTTCAGATTTGAGTTCATCACTCCATAAGACCTGTTGTCACATAGCAATTATTTCTTCAGCTTCAACCATCAACATCAGCTTGATTTCTTAATCTACGGATTCAAATTTGTGCACGGTGCAAGTAAAAATCTTACTGCAGATATGGAGGGAGATCAATGTTTTCTTTATCCTTCCCACAGTTTCCCTTTGCTCAACACTCAAATAGTGAAGCTACACCACCTTTACCTATTCCTTATCTTATTCTCTGCACTCCACATCTATCTTTTTCTTCCCCTCTCACCTCCTCTCCTCCCCAGCTCACCGCCCTCTGTCTTTGTTCTTCCCTCTCACCAGCAGCAGGGTTAGTCCACTCCGTTCCCTGTGTGGGTTTTGTCGATTTTTTTTTTCTTGAGGCTTTGCTTCTTTCTCCTGTTCTCCTAAGTTTCTTTTCTCTGTCTCTGTGGATTGTATCCACTTCTTTCTCACACACACACCCCCTGTGCTCAGTGTCATCTTCACTTTTTTTTCCTAGGTTTTTCTATCCCTCTTGCCTTTATTGCTTACGTCAAACTGGAAACCACTGCGTCACTGCTAGATAGTCCTGTGTGTGTGTGTGTGTGTGTGTGTGTGTGTGTGTGTGTGTGTGTGTGTGTGTGTGTGTGTGTGTGATTTTTATATGCTCATACACACAAGACAATATCTATGATGATTATGGAGTTCATTGACTTTTCTTTAGCATCCAAAGCACATTTATTTCATGAGTGTGCATATTTTCACCCGTGAATGATTCCCTGTGTGTGTGTGTGTGTGTGTGTGTGTGTGTGTGTGTGTGTGTGTGTGTGTGTGTGTGTAATTTAGAAAAGACTGGCATCTGTGTTGCCTCTCTGCGCACATTACTGTAATCATTTTTAGCTCCTCTGTATTGTTTTTGCCACGTTTGAGAAATTCAGCATTTTGGGGGTTTTGTTTTCTTACGAAGCAAATTGATCCCTTTAGAGCATGAGGAGAGGAGCGATTGCAGCATTTATGGAAATGTGTTTGCCCGTGTTTTCCCTCCCTGAGTCGTCTCATTCAAATTCACTCAATAGGGGAGTCTTTAAACTTGCAGCCTTTCTCTCACGCAGCTTTGGCAGTGTGTTCCAGTGGGCAAAAGTAGTGCTTAACCACTCGCTTTTGCAATTATGCACCTTGTGCGCTGTATAATGGATGAAATTATGTGACGTCCTTTAATCGAGCCTTGTTTGTGTGGATGCGGATTCTCAGACGCACAGCTGAGAGCCACAGTGATGCGGCAAGTAGGAGAAACAAATTGGTAGTTGCGAGTGCCCCTTTTGCCAAATACGCAAACACACATACAAAACAGAGCAATTCACTGATTATATATAGCTAATTAGCCTTTGCTGTTGGGCTCTTAAGTTCAGTGAGAAAGGGATGGGAGGAACTGGAAAATGGCACAAAAAAAATTATTATTAGCCCCACACATGCATTGAGACCTGCACACATACATATGTTAGAAACCCTACATATTCCAGCTATATTTCTGCAGGGAATTTTAAGAGCATTCGTTTTTTGTTTTTTTTACGCATTTATTTCTTTTGAATTAGAGGACACCCCTCCAGTTGCATTTCTAACCCTTCCCCTGAGATCTTCATCCCTGGCTTCTTGCCACAATATTACAAAAATATCTCTTTGACGAGGCCTCACACATTGTATTCTCTACCTGCCCACTCACAAACATACAAATGTACAAGCAGCACAGTGAGCTAAAATTAGCCCCCCCCCTTTTTTTTTTTTTTTTGTTACTGTTGACTCATTTTTTTATGTAATATTGATTTTGTGTGTGTGTGTATGATTGTGGGAGAAGAGCTGGTACATTTTTGGATTGTTCCAGCATTATTTGTGCTGGGAAAACGTATACCAAAATATAAAAATAAATACATAAAGAATGTCAACAATAATTGTGTTTCTGCACTCTGGTTGCACAAATACAGAAAATGTGTTGAATGACTGCCAGAGTTTCTTCTTCTTCTTATTGGTGTTTTTTTTTTTTTTTTTTTTTTCCCTTTTTTGCAGCCGGGAGGTATTACAGGAGGTTTTAGACACAGACCTGAGCAACGAAGCTTTCCCCTTCTCCTCACACAAAGTTGTTATTGCAGCAGGACATCAGGTGACAGCACTCACACACCCGTTACATGCACACACACATGTACACGATGGATGCTCTACATTTCTCTGCTTCAAAATAACCCTGTCTGTCTTAGTTAAATGAAGAATGCAGTTAATTAAAAATGCCACTATGCAAATTGCATGCTGTTGAGTGAAACGGTATTTTCTTTTCTTTTTTTATTTAAAAGGTTCAGTCATCAAAGATTGTACACTGTGTGTAGGAGGAACAGATGGTGTGTCTCAAGGCGTCCTTGTGACTTCCTTGCATGTCGAGTCTGTCCAAAATCTATGTATTTTTTTTCACATTCTACCTTTTCTTCCTCCGTCCCTGAGGTCTACTGACTCAAAACAAAGTTTATAAGGCCGTGGCTTAGAAGGACATGGGAAACTCTTTGTATTCATACCATGGTACAAATAAAAGACCAATCGTGATTTTTAAAACATTTGGTTGGTATCTTAAGGGAGGGATGGAGGTGCAGTTGCTATAAAGGAAAGGGAAAAGGAGCAAAAATGATGCTCATGTACTCATTTTTAGCTGTCTTTTTATAAATTTTTCAAGAGGTGATGCAGTTAAGTGTGATCAGCCTCTGCCTTTGACCTCCACAGACTTCCTGCCCTCAAAAAAAAGAAAAAAGAAAAAGAGCATGTTGTACCAACACATGCAGCGACACATATGTCCACACACGTACTCGCTCTCTTAGTTGGTCTTGCATGAATTATGCAGCGCTCTGGTGGTTGCAGTCAGCATCTTCTCACAGCTCTGCAGGAGTGTTTGTGTTGCTTGTGTGCAAGTGTGCCACTTGTGCTGTCTTCCAGCTGGTTTCTGGCCTTGTCTGGGTGACATTTTAATGGCTGCACTGCTGTGAGACCAGAACCCTCTGCTCCCCTCATAGCTCATTAGACTCTCTCTCTCTCTCTCTCTCTCTCTGTCTCTCGCTCTCTCCTAATAGCAAATGTGCAGCATGTATGGAGGGAGATACAAATTTATGTGTAGATGCAGTCTTGTACATATGTCAGCCTTTTAGCTATCTGTCTTTGATTTTTGCCAGGTAAATGTATAATTGCTGGTCACTCATGTGCTTTAGGTTGTATTTTGAATATATGCAGGCATACATGTACCTTCCCCAGAGCTTCATGCGTACATATGGGACTCAGGGTGATCCCTACATGGCCAGATGGCCTGGCTGTCACTACACCTACTGGGGAAACTGTTGTTTTCTCTCCACGTTTTTTTTTTATTTGCTCTCTCTCATATTTTTTTTAAATTTTTTTTTAGATGTGATCTTTCCATCTCCTTTTCTCTCACCTGAATTTGATGTGATTTCATTTTAAAGAGCAATATGGGATTTGTCACCTGTGTGTTGTTCTCATATTGTTTCATTGTAACATTGTACACTCACTCGCCACCTTGTTAGTTACATCTGTTCAACTGGTCATTGCTGAAAATATCTAATCAGTCAGTCATGTGGTAGCAAATCGACACATTTAGGTATGCTGTTGACCTGCTGAAGTGCAAAACAAGCATCGGAATGAGGAAGACAGATGATTTATGTGACTTTGAGAACTGAAGATCTACTGTACTGGGATTTTCCCCAGAGAACCATCTCTAGGGATTGATCTTAAAAAGAGAAAATAACCAGTATGTCTGAGCATAAATGGCTTGTTGATGCTTTGCTCGAGGCCAGGAGAATGGTCATACTGCTCTGGGCAGATGGGAAGGCAACCACTTGTTACATTCGAGGTAGGCCGAAGATCATCTCAGAGTGCCGAACATTGAGGTAGATGGATCTGCAGCAGCAGAGGACCATTGTACAGGTGGCACTCGTGTCAGCAGAGAACAAGAAACTGAGCCTACAATTTGCGTTAGCGCTCCAAAATTAGACAATAGAAGTTTGGAAAATCATTATCTGGTCTCAGTCTGAATGTCTGCTGTGACATTTAGATGGGGCCAGAATTTAGAGTAAACAAAATGAAAACATAGATCCATCCTGCCTTGTATCAACAGCTTGAGGCTGGTGGTGTTATAATGGGGGTGGGGGCATTTTTTTTTGTTGACACATTTAGGCTTCTTAGCACCAACTGAGCTTTGTTTAAACACAACAGCCTACCTGAGTATTGTTGCTGACCATGGCAATATGGGGACATATTGCCACTGAACAATATGTTCCCATATTGAACAAGCTTCTGGTTGTTCAGTGGAACAACCAGAAGCTTTCCTACACAACCAGGCTCCATCATCAGCCCACAGCCAGGCTCCACCATCAGCTCACAGCCAGGCTCCACCATCAGCTAGCAGGTCCAGCCAGCAGGCCACAACCAGGCTCTACCACAGGTCTATCAGGTCTATCTGTCAGTCAGCATGTTATCCTGTGTAGTCTTTTTTCCTTTGTTTTTATTGACAGCTTTTTGTCTACATGATGTCTGTGGAGCAAGAAAAACCATACTTCTTACTCCTCTCAAAGGGAACAAGGTGGGATTTTACATCTTTTAAGCTTCTCAAACGTGATCATCAGCAGAGATTCTTCATGTTTAACTGATTATTATTCCATATCACTGGTTTATTTCCCAATCTCTCACCCCCCAAAGAGATTGGGCACTAAGAGAAATCAGTCTGTAATCCTACAAAAAAAAATCTGTGAAAAGAAAATGTTTTATTGTTCTTCTGCTTCTTTTATCTGGAAATGTGCAACCTAATCCCGGTCCAGATTGCAAATGCTTAAGTACTCCTTGTGATTTCAAAACTCGAACAGGTCTTGGTATCACTCATTTAAATGTCAGAAGTCTTCTTCCCAAACTTGATTTTGTGAAAATTTGGATGAAAGAGTTAGATACCATATTCTTATATTATCAGAAACCTGGCTTACAAAATCGATTACTGACAAAGACATTGCAATAACAGGCTATAATCTTTTCCGTTGCGACCACCTCAGAAAGGGTGGCTGTCAAGAGATTTATTTTAAAAGACACTTCTTCAGCTGAGAGTCTAAGAGTGAAGACACACACACGCTGCAGATTTTACTTGCAAGGGCGGTCACAGAGCGCTCACACGAGAGTGGGGGGCCCTGTGATCAGCGCTCTGTTCTTGCACTTGTCTTTATTTATTCTATTTTAGTTTATTTTGTGTGTGTGGTGTGTGGAGGTCAGACTGCTTGTTCAACTTTTACTATTGTGGGAAGATTCAGATAGAAATATCAGAACACGTTTTATAAAGAACAATCAGTTTGAACAATGAGACAATCAGTTCTAAGCAGGAAAAGGTCATCATGCAGTATTCTATCACATGTAAACTTATATCATTAAAAGCTTATACTGACTACTAAATACAATTTTCCATTGACAGTGGCGGTGTTGCAATTTATGTAAAAAGCAAATTCCATGTTACTGTCTCTCCCTTTGCTGAAAGGAGGTGATCCTTCAGATGTTACTACAGGCCCATATCTAAATTGTGTGTTCTAGCAAAAGTTCTAGAAAAGTTCATTAGTGAACAACTGAAAGACTTTTTGGACAAAACTTCCTTTCTTTCCCAACATCAGTCAGGATTCAGAAAACAACACAGCACAATAACTGCTGCTATTTAAGTGGTTATTAATGACATCGTTAATTTAATGGACTGCAAAAAATACTGTGCTGCTCTTTTTCTTGACTTGTCAAAGGCTTTTGATACAGTTGACCATGCTATTTTATTAAATAGACTAAACAATATTGGTCTATCTGTAAATGCTGTAAGTTGGTTTTCAAATTACTTGTCAGCAAGAAAACAGTGTGTCCGTGCTGCTGGGTCTTCTTCCTCTTTTCTCCCAGTATCCAAAGGAGTTCCACAGGGCTCCATATTAGGGCCATTGCTATTTTCTCTTTACATAAACAACCTTTGTGATAATTTGTCAAATGCAGCATTTCATCTTTATGCAGATGATACAATTATTTATTGTTCATCCCCTTCAGTAGCACAAACTCTGCATTTTCTGCAGTCTGCCTTTGATATAGTTCAGTCCCATTTAACTCAACTTAAGTTGGTGTTAAATCCAGATAAATCCAAGTTCATGTTATTCTCAAATGGCAAGGAGTTGTTAGCTACGTCTCCTAAGATTAAAACAATTCAAGGAACTGAAAGTGAAATGGTCACACCTTACAAATATCTAGGGATCATTGTAGATCAGAATTTGTCATTTAAAACTCACATCCAAAGGCTTGTGTCGAAGTTAAAACTAAAACTAGGTTACTTTTTTAGAAATCAATCCTGTTTCTCCCTCAAAGTGAGAAAACACTTGATTCATGCAACTTTTTTACCTTTATTAGATTATGGTGACCTGCTTTTTATGAATGCACCTGCCCACTACCTAAAGAGGTTGGATACTGTGTACCATTGTGCTTTACGTTTTATTACTGGCTATGGAAGTCGTGTACATCATTGTTCTTTGTATGCTGCTGCTAAATGTCCATCTTTGCATATTCGCAGACTCTCCCATTGGTTGATCTTTATCTATAAATCTCTCCTTGGGCTGGTTCCATCTTATTTATGTGTTTATATGTGTAAAAACCACAACCAATACAGCCTTCGTTCTCACAATATCATACAATTGATTGTCCCAAAAATCAGAACAGAATTGGGGAAAAGGGCTTTTAAATACGCTGCCCCTGCTTCCTGGAATAATCTGCAGAAGGAACTGAAATTATCAGAATTGGTTACCTTGGGAGAGTTTAAGTCTGTCTTAAAGGAACGAGAGAATAACTCTTTTACTCAGTGTGATTGTTTTTAATGTACTCTTAATTTGATCTGTTATTGTATATTTTACACATGTTTGGTATGGGATATTGTATTTGTTTTAAATGTTATATATTTATGTGGTATGTGTATTTTAACTTTTGTTGCCATGATGCCAGGTCTCTCTTGAAAATGAGATTTTTAATCTCAATGAGATTTTTAACCTGGATAAATAAAGTACTAATAAAAAATAAATAAATCCCATTATGACCACTGTGCACCCATCTTCTGAAGGCTACTTCCAGCATGTATCGCATCATGTCACAAAACTTAAATCATCTCAAACCAGGGTGTTGAACATGACAATGACTAATGACTATACTCATGGTCAGATCTCAATCCAACAAAGCACCTTTGGGTTGAATCAGGAGATTCACATCATGGATTTGTAGCCAAAAAATCTACAGCAGCTATGTGATGCTGTCATGTCACTACGGACCAAAATCTCTGAGGAATGTTTTCAGTGCTTTGTTGAATCTGATACAAATTAAGGCAGCAGAGTCAGTCTTGTTATGATTAAGTGGCATATTCTGGATTTTTAAAGCTGTTACTGATAATGCAACTTGATTTCAGATCTTTACATGTATTGCTTGTTTTGTTTTTCCTCCCTGGTGGTTAACGTTGTAATGAAGACACATTGCCCTACTTAATTATAATATATAACATGTACATGTACTGGGACTTCTTGTTACATTACTGACACATTATATATATATATATATATATATATATTATTGTAGTGAAAAGGGAACTGAAGGAAGAACTTTTTTATTTTCATCTCATACAACTTTAAAAAAAATGTTAAGATGGACTGTTTATCAAAGATAGACATTGCCTGGTAAATGTGACATCATCTCAGAAAACACTGCCGGGGTTAGCACAGATACCTGCTATATGTAAAATGATACATTTCATTTTTCAAATGGTGAGGTTGGCATTAAAACAGCAGTGCTAATAATAATAATGCAGACTTTTAGCCTGCAGTTTTTCAGTGCTTCAAGCCCAAAGGTATCTACATGGTTTAATCTTATTTCACTCCCAGTTAAAAATGAAAATGGCTGTCACTGTTGTAGTAAACTGCATAAAATATTAGATTATTATAACCACTACATGGCCATTCTGCTGGCTGACATTTTTGCTTTATTAATTTCACACAGTTTTCTGTAAGGGTGTGAGGGCGCTTTAGCTTACATAATACCATAGAAGAAGAAACAGAAGGAGAAGATTTGTGTGCAGATTTTCACTTTGCAAAAATGAAATGACAGGATACACAGTCTGTACTCGCAGTCTTCATCAGTTGTCAGAAGGTAAACAGATTGCAGTTGCTTCTCCTGAGCCGTTCGCTGGAGTTTTTTCTCCTCTTCCTTTTTCTGCATTTTTTGCTGTGAAGATGATGAACGTTAACACGATCTTTATTGAAAAAGACAAACTATAAAGAATGACACACAGATTGCAAAATGCTTTCCATTTTCCTTTTGATTCATAGCAACGTCTTTCATGCCTTCAGTATGATTGTATTTTCCCTCCTGTCCTTTCTTGTGCACCTTGTATCTTCGTACATCTGTCCTGATTTTTCTCTTCTGTTTTCTGGCTTTCTGTGAAGCTGCTTTTGGTATTAAAATGAATTCCATGTAAATTTGGGCCTTAAGGATGAAGTGTGTTTGTGCATGAATGAGCACAAAAAGAGTATGGCAGCTCGGTCCTCTTTGTGCATCTCTCCATCTTCTAAGCCTCTTCTCTGACCCCTCTCTCATCACAGGTGCGAGCTATGCGCCTGTCATTTGTCGGAGAGCTCGGCTGGGAGCTGCATATTCCCAAAGATTCCTGCCTTCCAGTCTACCGTGCTGTCATGGCTGCTGGTGCAAAGCACGGCATCATCAACTCAGGCTACAGAGCCATCGACTCGCTCAGCATAGAGAAAGGTAACTTGTATTTAAAGGTCATAAATCTATAACTAATAATATCCAATCTAGCTCAGGTAGGATTTAACTAGTAAACAAAACAACTGAGTCTACATTTCTTTTAATAATCATCCAGCATGGAACTCAGCCAAAGTTTACTTTTAATAATATTGTACCAAATATGCAGGAAACATGGCTTTTACTCTAATCTTCGGTGTTTCTTGTTTTTAAGGGTACAGGCATTGGCACGCCGACCTGCGCCCTGATGACACACCACTGGAGGCGGGGCTAGCCTTCACCTGCAAGCTGAAGAGTTCAGTCCCTTTCCAGGGTCGTGATATGTTAGAGAAACAGAAGAAGGAGGGACTGAAGAGGCGCATCGTCTGCTTCACCACTGATGAGTCAGTAGAGCTTCTGTCGTGACATGATATTTTAGTCATCAGAAAGAAATTAAGAAAATTAATTAAGGGGGGGGGGGCATTTATAGATGTAATTTAAATATTTTCAGCAGCACAGCAACCATCCATGTTATTCCCAGGCAACAGGATCATTATATTTAAAGATGGTGCAAAAAATCAAATCAAATAAAATCAAATATGTTTTATTCCAGAGCAAAAGATGGGAACAGGTGAAGCAGTTTATAAATGTTATCTTTAGATATATTATGTTTAAGTAGTTCTGACTATTAATATTTAAGATTCATCACCTTATTTTATGAAGTAAATAATACACCAAAAAAATACAAATCTTTTCATTTTCTGAGACCTGAGACTGTATTTATACACCAAACAACCACATTATTAAAACCACTGACAGGTGAGATGAATAACATTGATTATCTCGTTACAGTGGCAGTTGTCAAGGAAATGAGGTATTTTAGGTTGCAAGTGAACAGTCGGTTATTAAAGTTGATGTGCTGGAAGCGGGAAACTCTGACCGACTGACAGCAGTCAGTTGTGATGGCGTGGTCTGAGTTTCTCAGAAAGGTCTTGTGGGCTGTTACTGGTATGCACTGGTTAATATTTATCAAAAGCGGTCCAAAACAAACAAATCCAGTGAAACGGCAACAGGGTTGTATTGTTGAAAACTTGACACTGCCTCCAGTCTTTCATTGTCAAATGTCAAAATCTTTGCAACATTGTTTTGAGATAAAGCTGTTATCATTATCTGCATCTCTTACTCTGTGGCTTTTAGGAAAGTCCCGATGTTTGGTCTGGAGGCTATTTACCGCAATGGTGTTCCTGTTGGTCACCTCCGACGTGCCGACTATGGCTTTTATATCGACAAAACTATTGGTTATGGATACATCCGCAATCCAGATGGAGGAGTGGTAAGTGCCTTAAAAGCACCAACACACTGCAGTGCCCACACTTATTCTGACCACTTTCTCTCCCGTTTTCCAGTGTTTGTGTTAAAATATGAAAATGGCAGAGATCTGCGCTGTTGTGAAAAAAATGTGTCGAGTTTACTAAATCCTTGAAAGTAAAGTGCAGAAAACTAAAATGATCACACGAGCCGTTGTCATAACTGAATATCAGACAGATTAGATTAGTAGCTAAGGTTGCGTGCAGCAGTTGACTTCTGTGATTTTAATATCTGCTTAGATATGTGTCATATGTCCCTGCATGTATTTCTGCATTTAAATTCTTCTCAAGGTTTTTCTTTGATTAGTAATAAACAAGTAGTATGCACGCGTATGGTTAGCGTGAGGCTCCAGGACATGGAGCATGTGTCTGTCAGCGAATGAATTCGAGACACGGTGACAGATTAGTGGGAGAGCTGGGGAGTCAGTCAGTGAAAATTAGCACTTGGTGTTACGAGCGAGCTGACACTGAGTCATGAGGGAACTGATAGCTTCCTGTGCTTTAAAACTCCTGCAGTCACATTGTCCGTTCTGGAATAATCTGCCTGCTCGGAGCAGTATTTTATACAACCAACAAGTAATGGTGTTCCTCCTCTATGACTTGTCAGATTTTTGTGATACTTGCACACAAGCATTTACAACCAAATTGTGCTCAGGGTCAGGGTTTTATTTGTCATCTTACGGACTATATACAGAACCATCCATCACAAATCGCACAGTCACAAATGGCATTGTATGCAATTTGTGAATTGTGATGGATCGTGAGCCTGATGAGCTGCTCCGTCATTCTGGTTTACAAAGTACGTGGATTCTTGCTCATCTCTTTTTGCTCCCTTGTCATTTTCATCTTTACTGTGTCCTTGTTTGACACATTTGAAATTCTCCTCCCCATACTTGCTTATCGTTCTGTCTTTTTTGTGTTTTATGACGTATCATTTTCTCTCACCGTCTCTTTCTTCATCAGGTTAGCGCTAACTTCATAAAGAGTGGTGAGTTTACCCTGGAGAGGATGGGAGTAGTATACAAGGCCAAAGCACACCTCAAATCTCCTTTTGACCCTGAGAATAAGCGTGTCAAGGGCATCTATGATTGAGATCAGACCACACATGTAAAAACTGACGAAAAACACACCATCTACAGAACGGCACCAGAGGTGGAGGGATTTACAACCTTTTGTACGAGCAGCTGTTTTTGTCTTCTGTCAAATACAAGTTCATCTCAAATGTTGTTAATTTTGTTCTGATTTGATGGGACTCATGTGCGTATGATCGATTTTATGCTCATTTGTAAAATGTTGCATGTTGAAAGCTGGTGAAAAATGTGCATCAGTAAAAATCAGATATGACTGGATTGTTAAGGGTGCTTCTGTTTCTTGTCTCCACGTTTTTATATCCACTCTGAGAGTAACAGCACACTGTTTGAATCGTCGTGCAAGTACTAATACCATGAAAACGTTCAAGGGATACACTGATCGTATTATCTCTAAGAGTCGAGGGATTTGTGGTCCAGATTGCCTTCATCTTTCCAGGGTTTAACTTAAGAACTTTAATAACGGATGATGTATTTCAAACAGTTTCTTTTCTTTTTAAATAATAACTAAAACATCTGTTGGTTGTTTATGTCAAAGGATCAACAGCCAGAAATAGTAAAGACAGTTAACTGTTAATCTGCAACTAACCCTGTTAGTAGAGTCAGATGCACTTTTGATAAGTGTGTGTGTGTGTGTGTGTGTGTGTGTGTGTGTGTGTGTGTGGTGTGTGTGTGTGTGTGTGTGGTGTGTGTGTGTGTGTGTGTGTTTCAGTCAACCAGCCGCAAAACAGATATTTGGATGTTTTTATCCAAAGTAAATATCAATAAATATACTTTTCAGTTTGTGGGAAGGTCCTTTGAAAAAGCTAATCAGGTTCAAGAGAAAACTATCCTTTATTAGAAGTACTTTGATATTAATGGCGGTGTTAATTTGACCTTTTACTTGGTTATACTAATACTCTGTAATGGGGAGTAAAATTATTCTCATAACAATACAGACACTTACAATGAATACAGTAACTGTTTGTGCTGATAATGATGACAAAATCCAGAGGCTTTTTTTTTTGTTTGTTCTCGAAATCTGAAGCAGTCATCCTGCGAGAAAGGAAGGCAAAAAAAGAAACACCCAAAGGCACGACGTACCAGGGAAACAAGACACTAATGAAGTAGAATAACAGAAGACAGCAGTTTTCAGAAAACAGTTTTGGGAAAAGATCTCCTTTGTCTTCTGATCCGTCCCCTCATGGTCATGGCATTATGTGTTAATGTACCGCCTTTTGTTCTTTAACAGAAGTTTGCTAAATAAGGCGAGCAGTTAATTTATGCATAGGTAAACCTCTCATTTTATCTTTGCTAAAATTCCTTAATATTTAAATTTGAAACTAATAGTAACGCAAGACATGACTTTATAGATGTCATGCTGGGAAAAATTAAGTTGTTGATGAATACCTTGGCTTATATTGATTTTTTTTTTTTAAAGACTAAATGCTCTTAATGTACAGAGAATCTTATCTTTAATGTAGGTGCTGTTTTTTTAGTTATAATTATTCTTAGTGTTTACACAAGCATCTAAATCTGGTTTGACACTCATAAGACAATGTTTTGTTTACTCTAACTTACACGAATACACTTAGAGTCCAGCACACACACTGTGAACAGCTCAGAAAAAGGTGTCTAAATAATGGAAGGCATTTGTATGTGTGTTTCCTGCTTCTCCCGCCGATGTTTGTTGAAACCAGTTCAGCACGAAATGTTTACTAATGTGGAATGATTCATCGATTCTGCTCACAAGGCCATTAATCATTGCAATGGTTGTTCTCAGGAGCAGTCTAGGTTAATAACGAGATTTATGTGGGAAATTTGAAACATGCTGATAAAACACTGCAGCTCTTTTATCACATTGTAGGTAGAGTTTCTGTTTCTTTTGTTTGTTTGTTTTTTAGCTTCTTCTTCCTGTAATATGATTAAACACTGAAAACCTCTCGATGGAAAACTGGCTTGTTGTTAAAATTGATCTTGTTATTGGATGTTTGGATGTACATTTGGACTGTGTGTTTATTATTAATGCTTAGAGAGGAAAAACTTGACCAGTTTAAAATGAATAAAAAATGAGAGGTGGAAAGATGTGGCGGCCAGTCAAATTATAAAGCAAATGTTAACCCTCATTCATTTCTTCTGTCCAAAGCGATTTGTGTATTAATAAATCTCTTTTTAACATTCAACACTTTGTGACATTCATTATTCATCCATCCATTTACTTTAACTAAGGAAAGGATAAAAATGTGTTTATTTTAAATTATTTTTATTTAATTTCTTGCCTTTGAATAACACTCAAGTCACTTATTATGTTGTGTTTAGTACAGATTGTAATTATTCACCAAATGACATCATGTTTCCAGCCCAAATGTTTTGAGTTGGTCAACAGGATCACAGGGAACAAACATGCAGATATGTTATGTCTCGGCACAAACGTAACATGTCTGTTGATAACAGCTACAAAAAAACTGCCAGCATTATTTTAATTTAGTTTGATACCTGCCATTCCCAATTTGTAGAGTTTTAAATGGTTTCAATGGGGGGGAAAAATGTGATTGTTACTAACAGAATATATATGTGCTAACGATAACACAGACTGCAGGAATTTATATAAGTATATAGTTACAGCAAGTAGATAACAAACACATAAAAACCAAGGCAAACTGAATAAAATTGTGGGAACTTGTTTGGGTTTCCACTCTTGAGGTCTCCCTTTTCCTCGGGCTGAAACATCCTGCTGCTCACATTGAAGGTGTAAGGCATCAGTTGGTGCGAAGCGTGCCTCGCTTACAGGTGTACTGAGGTTTTTCAAGGACTGAGGTCACCGCTGGTATGGGCTGTTTGTCCCAGTCACCCTGGAAACACACGTGATATGTTCTTAAAATCAAATGTATTATTTAGTTCTCGGTGCTTTAAAATAATAGCCAGACGGTTTAGACAGAATTTATTGAAGTATTAACATTGCCGCCACTGTCACACATTCCTCAAATTCACAAAATTATGAAACGCACATGAAGCTTTAAGACTGAAAATGCTAAATACTGTTAAGCTAAACCAGGGGTAGGCAACTCCAGGCCTCGAGGGCCAGTGTCCTGGAGGTTTTAGATGTGTCCATGATCCATCACAGCTGATTTAAATGGAGAAATTACCTCCTCAACATGTCTTGAAGCTCTCCAGAGGCCTGGTAATGAACTAATCATTTGATTCAGGTGTGTTGACCCAGGGTGAGATCTAAAACCTGCAGGACGCCGGCCCTCGAGGCCTAGAGTTCTACACCTGTGATTTACAGGAAACACTGTGACTATGTACTACTACTTTTCAGAAAAAGAAGCTGGTGTGACTCTGATACATTTAAATACGTTCAGTGGCCTTTAAATACATCTTGCTATTATCGGGTCACAAGAGAAGGCCATGGTCAGCAGAAATACTCAGATAGGCTGTTGCATTTAAATGATGCCCAGTTGGTACAAAAGGGCCCAAAGTGTGCCAAGAAAACATCCCCCACACCATTAGACTACTACCAGCCTGAACCACTGATACAAGGCAGAATGGATCCATGTTTTCATGTTTATATCAGCAGAAATTGAGACCTGTCAGGCCAAGCAACATGTTTCCAATCTTCTTTTGTCCACTTATGGTGAGCCTGAATGAACTGCAGCCTCAATTTTGTGCTTTACAGTAGCTCGCCTGTTTCAAGATTCAGTGTGCCGTGTGTTCAGAGATGCTCTTTTGCATGTCTTTTTTGTAAGTGTTTAACAAGTGGTCATCTCAGCCATACAATTTTCTGTAAACCTTAGTGATGGTTGTGTTGGAAAATACCAGTAGGTTGGCAGTTCCTGAAATACTCAGACCAGCAACAAGTATGCCAAGTTTAAAGAGTAATTTGTGTTCTGTATGCAATGCCTTGCACAGTGCTTAAAGCAGGTAGAGCCTGCTGTTGAGCTTTGGTTTTTCTTTGTTGAGCTTCACATGTTTGATTCATGTTTTGTTAAAAACAAAACTTGGATATTTTGCATGAGCTCATCCCTAAATTGGCTCCACTGCTCATTATCTCTTGCAAAGTTTTCAAGTGCCAAACAACATCTCCTGTATGTACTCTGCCATACAGAGTGCTGGCAGCTCAAATACTAAAACCGTGAGCCTGACTATAAGTGCAATTGTCGAATTACTGGGTTAATTTCACTCATTACGGATTCCCCGAAAAAAAAACTATATATATATATATTTGCAGTTTTGGCACCATTACTGAAATATGCCAGATAAAAAGGTGTCAAACTAGTTAAAGAAGAGATGTACAGATATACCTTATTTCTAGAGAGACAGAATTGATAATACTTCCGTATTTTAAATCATAAGATTAGATAGAAAAATGCTGCTGGTGCCATTTTTCCAAAGTTGCTAACCACAATATATTCGCTGACGGGGCTACTGACTACTGCTATGAGAATACACAATATAATTTGAGAACATCAGATGTAGAGCGTCTGTGTTATCGACACATTTTTTTTTTCTGGATCACAGGCAAGTGACTTTCATTACTAGAGCACAAGCTTTTCATTTTGATGTGAAAGTTTTGCGGATGCTACTGACAAAATGTGGGGATTTTTCAGGTAAAAAAAATCAATCAACAGCTTTGGCCTTAATGGATTAACTAAACAAATCCTCACAGCAGACAGATTCTCTGTACATTTAGCTGATTCAGAACTGTAGCTGTGTACCTTGTGGGTTTCTTTCATAAGCAGTCCTGATTTTAATCTGGATTTTTATGTGACGTATTTGGCCTGAATTTTAAATTATGTGCTGTTTCCAAACCTAGATCACCTAAAATCCGTTTATCCTTTACTTGTCTTAGTCATGCTCTGTTCGTGTATCCACCGAAACGCTGCAGTATGGTATATGTAACTGCTTTTCACTAACTGCACAAGTTAAGTTAAACTTAAAGACTAAAGCAAAATTTCTGACAGAAAACCTTGATCGAGGCTTCTTCGCAGTTTGTAATTGATTTATTCTCTCTGATCCAAACAGCTTGTGTGCATCTGAGTTGATTTTACAAGTTAACAAGCTGTCTGTTCAGCTGCTCTGACTCACTGTCCCACTGATGTCTTCTTTTGAACTGGCCTAATTGGTGGCTTGGCAGTCTATTGTAGCGGGTGTATGTGTGTGTGACTGGGGACTTACAGGAAAGAGGCGTGCAGTCGACTGATTGCAGTGCATCGAGATGGGGGCTGTGTTATAAAGCGAGTCCAGCACTTCTCCGGTGAATTCATCCCACTCTAGTTGAGAAAACTGCTCCGTCACACTAACCTCACCACACACACACTGGTCATTTCCGTGGAACCTGCAGGGAAGGAGGGTAGGATGGAGAGGGGGAAGAGAGATTTGAAGGAAAGTCAATAAAAGAAGGAGGCAGAGTGAGATTGAGAAAGGATTAGGAATCTGAGTTATCAGGACACAGTTTTACTTTTGGACAATGTAATCACCACGCGTCCCCAGGAGGAGATGAGCTGAGAACAAAAATGGCTTAGTCACATGTGAGAGGAAGAGGGAAAGGAGAAAGAGTAGCTAATCGTTTTAGGGAGCGGGAAATGTTGTGTGCCTGCACTACCTGTTAATGAAGTTAAAATATTTCTGCAGGTATCCTTGGTCAACGTGGCTCTTGCAGAGCTCCAGCTGGGTACGGGGGTAGTAGTGAATGTAGTTGACACACATTTCCTCCATGATGCCAAAACCACCCTGAGGAGACAAAGATATTTCAGACAGTGAAAATATAGTACACAGAGCAGATACAGGGTTGCCAAGACAGCGAGAACAAAAGAAATATGTTGAGTTTTGAAGGAGAAAGATGGAAGGAGATTAAAGAAGCTGCTCGTGGTTATCCTTCTGTTATTCACAATGATCAGGGTGAAATCCAGCAACAAGAAAAGAGTTTTTATATATTCAGAGTGCGCTGCTCACCACTGTAGGCTTGCTCCTATCTTCTGTGTTATAAGTACACTTTGTTATAAGTACGTCACCCTGTGGGATTAAGCACAGATATGAAGACATTCCACCACATTTTATATTTAGCAAACAACACTGATGATACTTTAAGATTACTGCCAGAAAATCCTTCATGTAAGAGATACAGTGTCCAGTCAGAGGTCTGCTGCTGCTATTCCCAAGAGATGGGCCAAGCTGCCTCTTCCTGTTGCACTTCTGTTTAAACGCTTTCTACAGTAGTAAGCTACTCTAATTAAAAACTTCATAGGCGAAGGGGAAATCATATCTACAGGGCTCTAGCATTAAAAAAAACAATTTTGGAAGACAGTAATCGGAATCTGTTCGTAGAACAAGCACTGTCGTGAAGTAAACAAAAACATGTTATTGCCTTTTGTAATTTCTGTTGAAAATACAGCCATTTGTTGGATACTTACAGGCAAAATGTTCACCATTTTCCTAAGAACTCGGATTGTCTGTATGAAAACAAAGACAAAAAGAAAGACAAAAATAGAGTTTTTCAAAATTAATAATAAGTCCTGCAAGAAGCTTCTGGGTTTAAGAAGCTTCTGGGCTGTAAGTGATGATGTGATGGTGAATGGATGTTTGTCTCTATGTGTTAGCCCAACAATAGATTGGTGCTATAAGCTAAAAAGCAGCCTGCTGTTCAACCTATGACAGGCGTAGGATAGTCCCCTGGATGGATGCATGCATGCATGGATGTATGTATTGATAAACGAGTTCACATTTACCACTGCAAAATGCAGTACTCTGCATAGCATCTTAATTTTAGATATAACTGGATACTCTGTGTACAGCACAAATGCAGTAAGAAAAACCAGTGGCTGCTTTCCTTGGAGGCACCTTTCACAGTTATTAGCTTTCTCTGTTAAAAGGTCTATTAGCTTGGCTGAGACTGGTTTGATGCGGTTCTTATTGCTCAATAAGGCTGCAGGTGAAACTTAATCGGACATCAGCAGCAGCTGGACGTTTTATTTGAGAGTCTGTGTCCAGCTGTGTGTGTGTATTTGCCTCAGGATAGTGTGCATAAATAAAACACAGCAGATGTCGACAACTGATTAGATGTTTAGTTGATAGGTCTTTGCATATAAGGCATTATATAAGGCATCCATCTATTACCTGAACTGCACCATCACTCATTCATCAATGCTTTTCTCTAATATAAAGCCTGAAATGGAGACAAACTGTGTCTCTTTGCTGCTGCAAAGCTCCTGTAAAGGGAACTATTCAAAACCAGGATGCTGCTGAAGCTGAAGACTACATCACTATCTAGTGACGTCAATACTGATGTCAGTGCTTATACAAGGTTGCTGATGGTCTTTAGATGTATAAAAATGTTAAGTGTTCTAAGTGTGAGCTTCTCTTTTGCTCCTGTTTTTTGGACAGAAGTGACTTCTGACCTTCATCACTAGATACGCTTTTTTGTTTTTTAAGAATAAGAATCTTTTTCAGTTACATATTGACTCTATTTTGAAATAGTTTTTCTAAAGCACATGTCAAAACTTGTTGAGCCTTTGCTCCCCAAAAATGAAAAGCTACCCGATGCCTACAGCCAATTTAGAATCGCCAGTTAACCCAACCTTCATATTTTGGACTGTGGGTGGAGCAGGCACAGGGATGATGTGCAGTACTTTCATACTGAAAGATTTCAGCTGATCAGTAAGTTGGAACTGAGACTTGCTGAGAGACAGGAGTGCTAATTTGTACACCACTGTGCCATCCAATGTGTCCCAAGTGCTTTTTAATATTAAACCCAACATGTTATTAACCAGCCAGTGAAAATATACTGTAAAAGTATGTGATTTATTCCTATTTTAACAGAACATTATTAAATTACTCAGCATTAACCACAGGAAATTAGTAAGTAAATGATGAAGAAGTACTCTGATTGACTCACAAGCACTTTGTGTACATCATTAACAACATGCATGATCACGTATTTATTTGCATTTTTAGCTGTTTTTCGCCTCTCTAGCTTGTCTGTGTATCTTATGGCCTGTGTATAGTGTACACGGGTCACTTTACCGCAGTCCAATCAGACTTTACGGCAGTAAAACAGCTTCTTTTTTTTTTTTAAATGTTGGAGAAAGTAGTAAAAGGGTAGAAAAAGACTCTGGTTTAATTTACCAAATATTTGTTGTGAATAAGCTTTGAAACACACATCTCTTTGAGATCTAAAATAAAGGCCACCTTAACCCAGTCTAATTTTAGCCCTGCTATCTCCCACCTGGTAGTGCGTACTGAAATGCTGGTCTTCCTGTACCACCTCCAGCTCTTTGCCTCCCCTCACCAAAACCGTTCTCACCCCACGCCCCGCCAAGTGGGTGTGCAGCTGGGAAGCAAATACATAGATTCCACCTGAAGGCAAAGCCTGGGTAGACAGAGAAAGAGTCAAGCTCCAACTAAAACTTTTTTTTTTACCATAGAGACAAAGAGAAAAAACTTGGGAAAAGAAAGACATGTCAGCCAAAATATCCCCCCCAGCATTTTAACTATAAATAATGAAGTAAATCTGTACATACTGTTTGGGTACACTTGGAGGTGCAGTATCCACTGAGGTAAAAGGTGTGTTGTTTAGGTGGGATAGCCATTACAGGAGTGTAAACGAGGCCCAGCTCCATGATCCCTGCATCGTAGCGCCTCAGGCTCGGGGTGTAATACAGTCGTATCCCTGATGAGTCACGCCGGCCTGCGTGAAGAATATTAAAATATTAGAACACATTTAGCATATCTTAAGTTAACTACTTACTTTTAGATCATTTTAAAACATTTGATAGCCAGAATAGTCTTGTATTATACCAGACTAAGAATACACATAAGGAATTTATTTCAGGTGCTGTTTGTGTGCTACAGCAACAGATCTTGGAAGGAGATTAACAGAAACATAAAAAGAGGATTATAAAGTAAGGTCTAGTTAATATGTAATTATATACTGTAATATGTAGTATGTATGTTTGGCCCAGGTAAATATGACTCCTCCTATTTTCTGTCAACTGTTTAGACAACACAGTATAACAACCTCTAAAACGCTTGCTATGTGCAATTTGTTAGCATAAGATATTAAAAGGTGATCTTGGTGATATTTCTGAAATTAATTTAATAATTAAAGAGGAACCCTCTTGGTCCAGGGGTCCAGCTGGGGACCTTTGTTGAATGTCATCCTCCACCCCTCGCTTCCTTGTTTCCTGCTATTGAAGACCTGTGGTTTCTAAATTATTTTAAATCGCAGAAATACTGTATTATAAGAGCCAGGGCTGAAAAAGTAAGAAATACTTGGAAGATATCTGTGTATTTCAAGGTTTGATTGGGATAAGGAAGACAAAGTGGGACTGCACTGACAGAGTTCAAGACAACCCTGTGGATCTTGGAGAGAGATACTGCACAGAGAGTCCTGCTGCTGCTGCTGCTGTGTGTGTGTGTGTCAAAGAAAGTGAAAAACATTCTTAGAGGCATGCGCCTGAAGTTTGTATGTTCACATATATACTGTATGTACCGGATATAAGGAGAGGGTTGTGGTAATGGACCTCCAGACGGAGGAATCTTGAGGAACCTGGTCCACCCATAGCCAAGCCTGCATCAGGGGGATAGTAGAAAGCCTGCAAATACACATAAATGCACACAAATACACACATATGTATGATTTGTTTTTTTTAAGATCATATCACAGGTTTTTTTTTCACATATCATACAACACGGCAAAAACATTTTCAGGTTTCCTTTAATAATTTTTTTATATGCTAGCAATATATTGTTCCATCTATCCATAAGCATCATTCTTCTGTTCTCTGAACATGTGATCGCGTCGTCAAAGCAAGCTCTCCTTGTCCTGCTCAATAGAATTCTTGCTGAAGCCCGTAAAGAAACAGGGATACCTATGCACAACCAAGTACATAGTTTAAATCTGTAAATTAATTTACTTAGCACAGGTTATTACTGACAACTGAGAATTTTTTTTGTCATGTCATGTATAATTATGACTTAAATCATGTGTATCTATATTTTTCTTATAGAAAAAGAAATATTTTTTTACAAAAAAGAAAAAAAAATACTACAAACAAAAAAGGCTGTATTCTTCGGGATCATATCAGAGCCACTGCCTTCATCGATTACATAGAGAAATCCACGTTAAGCTTTAATCTTGCTCTCATGTCATAACATTAAATCCTCTGAAACATGTCCCTTGCACACAAACGCACCTTTTTCTTCGGTGCTATTCTCCCTTTTTGCATTCTGATAGCATCATTCATTATTGATTTTCTTCACTTCAGAACTTCCTTCACTCTATTTTTCTCTTTTTCTCTTGTTTTGCATGGCCACGTTTCCCTTCTGATGCGGTGCCGAGGAGAATGAAACAACACTATTAAGAGGTGATGAAAGAGGCCTGAATATTTCCCACCTAATCTTGTCTCCACAGCTCACAGCTCACAGAAGGCATCCTGCTTGTTTTTGTTTAGCTGGCAGATAATCCAATCGGAGAGGGGCCAGGCTGCCTGTGATACAGTGGGGAGTAGTGCAGACAAATATGTTGACAGCCTCACCATTCCTTGTCTGCTTTGCTTCTTGTGGCCAGCAGTAGGCTACCAAAGTATGGTAGATTAATAGCTGATAGATGACCGACTGACTATGTAGCTGACTACTTCATAACAAGCGTCACCTCCCCTGTTTATGAGAGGTCCTTTCAAAAATGTAAATCTCCCAAAGAAAACGACACAAATCGTGGAACCTGGTTAAAAATAAAAACAAACTGGCGATATGATGATGTTTTATCACTGCTATGCAATCTTTTAGTGACTTTCAGAGGTAATAAGGTCATGACTCCAAAACTCTGCAACCAGATGCCACAAAGAAAACTTCTAAATGTTATAATTATTATTAGATTTCACTACATAATAATTAAAGATGAATGAAAAGCTTAATGGCATTAAAGATGCTGATTTACGTTCATTTGTAACTCTGTATTTTTATACTTGGTGTTTGTGGGATTCATAGTTTAGTCCTTATTTATCATATACTGGACCTTACATCATCCCCTCTAGTTCGTCTGCTGTCTGAAACCAGACAGTTTAGCTCTCCTTGGGTTGGGGGCCCCATCTCTTAAAGCTCCCTTTTTTTCTGATCGGCTGCACCTTGCAAACACCTGGTGCTTTTCTATTTTCTCGTACTTCTTCCTGCTGATGGGGCTGTGCACCAGGACTGCCACAAGTACAATCACCAAGTACAATGTACAATGTCTGGTTGATTGGCCAGAAGCTGCTTGTCTGTCTGGAAATCAGAGTCCCACAGGACCTTAGCCCTGTTGTTCTCAGCCACCTTTGGTGGTGCCTCCCATTGATGTTCCTGTACACAATGCCAGCCACTTACTCGTGCCTCCGTGTAAGCATCTTACATCCTGCTACTATGTGGTGAATAGACTCTGGGACATCTATGTGCAGTGTGTGGCAGACTCCTGTCTCTATGGATGTGGTCCTTAGGGCCTGTTCTTGTGCTGGTATAATCAGAGCTCTGTACTGTCCTTTAGGCAGACATTTTGTAGCCACTAGCAGGATTTTTTTTAATGTCAGTCACTTCAGTCAGTGGTACATCTTATGCAGGGACTTAGTCCTCCACTATAGTTCGTCTTCCTGTTCCTCATCACTGTGTGTCTTCAGCTGCCGACGGCACTTGGTGAACAGTGTGACCTTGGCAATGGGGGACAGCAGAGCTCTGAGCAGAACTCCTTTTTAACTTTGGTTTGTTCGCTACCAAACCTCAAACTTTTTAGGTGCTAAATGTTCCACACTGACTTCTTTGCTCTGACAACAGCTGTCTTCTACAGCTGGCAATGAATTTGTTGAAGGTAAAAACTGTGGACAGGGAAGTGAAAGCAATGAGAAAAAAAAAAGGCAAGCAAGTTTTCGTAGAGGGGAGGCAAGCCTCAGAATAAGGTAGCAGTTTTGTGATTGAAAAGAAAAACAAATCACTAACAACAAGAATCTAAGTACTGTTTGGGTTGCATCTGTATTTTTCTGCTTCTTAAAAGCCATCCCAACCCATGTTCTCTAGTAGCAAACACTTGGAGAATTCAGCCTCACAATGATAGGAAGAGCCAGCGTTAAAGGGTAGAAAAGTGGCACTGCTATAAACGGCTCGCTGCAGCAAGCCAAGTTATTCCTGTTTCAACTTTTCTGACACCTTCTCCTTACCTCCTCACTGCAGTTTTAATTTGTGTCTCCTATGACGATATTTGTGCTTCCATGTAAGCATGAATATTTCTGTGTGAGTGTGCATCCCACATGCAGACTGTCTCCAAGCTCTTAATAGATATGTGCTGCGTGTGGGCTCATCTATACAAGATTTTATGCTGGCAATTCTAGGCTTGGATATCACTTGCGTAGGAGTTTTTGTTTATCTCCTATTATAGGTACAAGCATTGGACCAAAAACTTTCCCAACTCTGTGTTTCAATTAAGCACTTGCTATATGTATTGAAAAAAAAAAAACGTTTTTAAAAATAATGTTTATGTGGGTGTCAGTCGTTTTTAAATTATTTTCCCTTTGTGGCTTATCTGTTTTGCAAATTGAAGACATTTGGGTTAGGAATTTAAGCTTATTTGTATTTCATACTGAGGCAAGGTAATGTCATTCAGACAGGAGTAGGAAGGTCAGTATTTCCCATCATACCTCAGCCCCCATAGCCCATGCAGCTAGCACGTGTCGGCAAAAGTTGAGCTTTTTCGGCTTCATTTTGTCATCACAGGAGCCGCTGTACCCTGGAACTGCAGGGACATCCGGAGAACACTCAAACACTTCTATGTGATGCACGATGGCCTCGTTCCCTGGAGTTATCGCCGACTCGTACTGAAAGAAAAAAAAAAACCGTATATGTATTTTTATTGCTGCAAGACATGTCAATACTGCTGTGGCAGGAAGTCACAGGCTGAAATGTATCTGTTTCTTTCTGCTGTCATGTAACATTAAAGGCATTACATTCCCATATGTGCCGAGGATTTCTTAGTAATCTATGTCACTAAAAATGCCTGTGAAAAGGGTTATTTTTTGTGTTGACACTTCTGCTTTGTGGCCATGCTGGGTATTTTGTTTGATCTAGCTTGTAGACATGGAGAATAACCGCTGCCTGTGCACAATCATCTGAAACACCCCCTCAGCTATGTGTAAAAAGACTCTTCGCTGAATATTTCTGTTTTTAGAAGCTTTTTTTCCTTTCTTTTTTACCATAACAATGTGGTTCTTGGCCAAATTTTCCGGCAGGTTGTGGATGTAGCACCAGTAGGTGGTCTCTTGATTTGGGATGATGACATTTGGTGCCACTACATCTAACATTTGTACGTCTGGAGGCAGGGTAGGTGGCGGCGTGTCGGGACGCAACATCAGGACTCTCTGTACACCGGTGCGGATCTCAGACAGGTTCAGCTTATCCAGTGAGGCAAGTGGTTTATCCAAGAAGCCGTAGATGATGTGCACAGTCCCCTCCTGACAAATTAGAGCAATCACAAAAGAAAGAGTGTTTAATGGCCACAATAGGAGAATATGAACCTCCATGATGTGCATTTCTACTTAAGCGTCCCTTCATTTTTATTAGGCTTTAATGCCTTCTGAGGCAAGCACAGCAAACTTTTCATTATGTTGTCATAGTGATGAGCCTTGCTTTGGTGCATCTGACTTAAAAATCTAATGTGGTGCCATGGAAACTATAATCATTATAATGTTCAGAGTGTTTCATATTCACACCTTAAATTAATCAGGTTCACAGCAATGAAAATACTGCAAAAGTGCAGGCACGTGCAGACGCATGCACATAGGCCCTGTCTCATTAACATGCACAGTGCAAAGACAATGTGTTACATTGATGCGCTAACTCAAATACTTTCTGTCTGACACTCATGATTTTTCCTCCTTCTTCATCACCTTCTTGTTATTTTGGCTTGAGGCCAAAACCAGCAAGTAAAATCATGCTGTAGTTCAGTCAGACGTGATCTGTGTAGCACCTTGTCATACAGATTATTGCCATACAAAGTGATTTAGAGGTGAAAAATCAAAAAGACAGCAAAAAGATAAACACTACAGTACTGGGGTTACAGTAAATAATTTTTCAACTTAGTCAATAAAGGCAATTAAACAAACAAAAACAAAATGTGTGCTCTCGGAATAAAAGCCAGCACAACGCCCTTAATTTGAAGAATATTTAAAGCACTTCCTGGATTTCAATTGTTTTTGTTTAGAGTGCTCCTTAGAAGGGACACATATAAATTAAAAAATATATAGAAGAGTTTAGAGGCACTGTCTTTTAAACAATATTTAAAATGCATTTATTCTTACAGCGTAGCCGTCTTCAAGTAAGTTTCGACAGGGAGTTAAACAGATTTCATTGAATCAATTATTCTTTTCTGGCATTGTTCCACAGACAAGGAATTTTCTCCTCCAATCCTCCAATGTGGTCAAGATGGTATCTAGCCATCACAGGAGGTAATTAGCATACCTCTAGCCTACATATGACAAACAAGGTTTTACAGTAAATAAAGTGATGAGCGGCAAATTAGCATCAGCATGCATCTTTGTCTGAATTTAAATGACACATTACACGTCTGCTGAATTGCCAACATCTCCTTTCAATGTGAAAAGGCGCTAGTCAAAAGAGACTAAACCAACGGGAAGGTTTTTAGATTTACAAATTACAGACTATTAAATATCCTGGCTTACATGAGGACTTCACTGCCTTTTTAAAACCTTGTTTGTCATTTAAAATGCTTTTATAGTATGTGCAATCAGTTTTGTGTTGCTTAAGAATTTGAGGGCTTGCTGAAAACCACTGGGAGGTTTTTTTCAGTTTGAACAACACCCATAACTATGCGGTTCTTCAGTAATAGGTAACTTACCTGCTAATTTCCTAACTGAGTTTATCTGATGACTTCTGGCGTGCACTCCTTTTCCTCCGTTCACCTTTACTTGGGGGAGCAGTTCAGATTTAGCAGTTTGTAAGATAAATTGTTGCTTTGGGGAGTTTTATGCATTTATTTATTCACTGCATTCTAGTGGGATAGCCGTGACGATAGCCAGCCTCTCTTTCTGAAAACTGTAATTAACAGTGTGAGCAATATTTTAATAATCTTTGGTTTTAAAAAGGAAAGCAAAAGGAAAAAAAACTGCACCATCAAATTCATAAATAAACCACCTAAAGAAAGAGGTTTCTCCTGAGTACCAGAGCTTTAAAGAGCAGTGACATACACTAAGAATATAAACTCTTCACACCTCTATGACGTAGTCTCTGGGATCACAGGTACTGAATGGTCTTTTGAAGAGCAGGTAATATCCTTCAGCTTTCTGTTTGGCTTCAATCAGGTCGTAATCTTGTTGGCTGTCTAGTGATACATGACCCTTGCTGTCACTCCAAGCATCCTGCAGGAGAAGACAGAATAAGTCTGGTTAGGTTTTGAATAACGCGCAACAAATAGCAAAGCAAAACATTTGAGAACACAGCGATAAGTTAGAGTCAACACTGAGCAACCTATTCTTAACTGAGGGTTAGTCTAGGCTACATTCTTTCAGGGAATTTCATTATTCTGCCATTAATGAACAAATTTCGGGAGAATTACGAGTCTGTGCAAAGCATGTAGCTGCTTGTTTCTTAAGTGGTGAAAAAGTTTTGGAGTTGTTTGGCAAGTAATTATAATCCAGTTAGAGAAATCATTGAAAGTGTGCCAGTTTGTGTTTTAGAGCCATCCAAGCCTGGTGTACACGATATTCTACTTCTCTGCCAGGGGGCTTTGCAGCAGCTCAGCTCGCTCTATCCACTTCTGTTATGTTTCTCACATTCATACCTGGCCAGAATAGCACCTAAGATCTCTTTCTTTATTTCCGTCTCCCTCTCTGTCGCTCTTATATAACTGTTCTGCACACACTTCATAGACTTTAAAGCCAGCAATTCTGAAAACATACAGTATGTACAAATCAGGGGGAAAATGTTCACATTAAACAATATGTGCTATGTATGCATGTATGGAATTCACAAGCTGTGAGCTCTACAGATGGCTGAGACACAGAGTTATACAACTATTTTAAACAGTGTTGAAGCCACAGTTTATGTGTTATCTAATCTTTTTATTTATTTGTTGTTGTTGTTTTTAAAGGAATCTCCGCTGTGTGTGAATGAGTGGAGGAATCTTTTGTCCCTGCCCTCTGAAAAAGCACAGATCAGTGTATAAGTTATGATAGAGGTCTTTCAGTCCTGGGTCACACAATAAACATGTTTGGTAAATGCAGTGGGTAAAATTAATGTTGATTGTGAGGTTTTTTTTCCCTAGTGTCATATAAAGAAATTAAGACTTGAGACTTTTGCTAGCTTTTTTTTAGCTGCTGAATGCTCCAGTGTGTGCACAAGGTAGGCAACACTTTCTAACATCCTCTTTTCCCCCTGAGCAGGTAGGTGGGATTTTAGAGCTTTCATCCAAGTGCAGGTGAGAATGATCCTACACAAGGAATGAGAGTAAACAAAAAAAAGATAACATTTCAGAACAGACAACCAAAGAATGACAGGCTTGATACAGATGAAGAGCTATTGAGACTAAACTGATAATTCTCTGTAGTTTTATCATTTCCAAGGACTCTTTACACATCGTCATCTGGTACAGACCATTATCAATTTTTTTTATTGTTTATATTTGCTTTACGTAATACTCTTGAAAAAAAATTCCAAACTACCGGTACTTGCATTTGTTTTATGTTATTTAATGTTACTATATCTAATATAGCAGCTGTAAATGGCTTTGCATTAACAACTGTTCATAACTGTCATACTGTTGGACCCACAAGTTTTGAGTTCTGTGGACTTTGAAATCTTATTTATTATGTTTTTTAGCTTTTTAAATGTCTTATTGTTTTCTTTCTTTTAGCTTTAAGTTCTATTGTGTGTTTATTTCATCTTCCATACACACTGCTGTGAAGATCATAGCAGAGATTTTTTTTTTCCATCAATCTATTGAAAGTCCGGAGTTTCTGAGTTCCTGATTGTACAGAAATGGTTCAAGCTTGAGTAGCCAGTCACTGAAAAGTGTGTGAATATATGTGCGTGTGTGCGTGCGTGCGTGTACGCGCGTGTGTGAGTATGTGCCTGAGAGGGAGCAAGAAAGAGAGGGAGGGAGAGAGGGAGCAAGAAAGAGAGGGAGGGAGGGAGACAGTGGAACAGCAGTGACCTTTCTTCTGTGGGTAATTTTGGCCTCCTGAGGGAAGAACGATGGAACTGGAGAAGAAAGAAAGTCCGACAGGAGGCAATCGATTGAACAAGAAAAGACTTACAATGATGCGAGTGTTACATGTAGATTGTAGATGCTTTTAAAAGGTGGGAATGCTAGACACCGACATTTATGGAAATATTTCAGAATTAAATGAAGGCATATCTTTGAAATTAAGTATAAATTATACAAATTGTTTAAATTTTACACTACTCCTTATTAATTCATAAACATTCTTATTACATGTATCCCCATTTTAAACTGGACAATTCCATGTCAAGATCCAAAAGCATGCAGCTTGTTGATATACATGTAAACTAAATGTATTGTACTTAATTTTTTTTCCCATCTTATTGAAGGAAACAAGAAAATTGTCTGTAATAGATATGGATTATTGGAACGTATTAGCACCACATGTGTTGCCGGTAGCTGAAAAATAAGTGATATTCCATATTTTGATAACTACACCACTTAGACTCTGTTCTTATGTTACTATTATAAAATATTAAAGAAAAATATCTAAAGGAGAAGGAATGAGAATCTAAACACATTCTGGTGCTTTCGTTAATATTTCCACATAAACTCTTTAGGAATACTAAAAGAGGGGGGAAAGTGTAAATCCAAACATTTTTATAGCTATGTATATTATTTTTAAGGACAGCGTATTAGAGAAAAAGTTGGATTTTGTTTAAAGGCTCAAGTCTAGCAAAAAGAAAATGAGGTAATATACATACACATCTTAATCAGCACAGGATTCAACTTTGATATGCTAATATCTGCTAATAATTCCCAGATGAATTTCAGCTATTAGTGCTGTTTGAGTGATTTCCAATTAGTGCAGACCGCCTGCATCCTTTGTGACTATGTGATCATGAAGCACACCATCCGCCGGCTCCTTCTGGAAAAACACCAATCTCACACTCCAAGGACCACAGGCAGATGATTTCTGAGAAAGAGGAAAATCTCACCTCTTTAAGGACTTCTGTGTAATCCCTGAGCATTTATGAATATGGCAAGCTAACTTGCAATAAAAATTGGCAAAGGGGGCACGATAGACTCTTTTACCTACTAAAATTAAAGTCCTTTTTACAGAGTCTTATGAAGATAAAATACACACATCTAGGGTTTACTTACTCCAAAGTAGCTCTGGGTTCCAGAGTCCCACAACACCAACAGGTCAGCATTGGTCAGCTCTCCCCGATCGGACATCCCCAGGACCACCCCGTGTCTGAGCTCTGCAACCCTCAGCTCCATATAAATCTCCTGGTTGGTGTAGCTGACATTCCAAGCCAGCTGGAGCTCCCCACGTGGATCAAGGGGCACCCGGAAAGGCATGGGGAGAGGTGGGAGAGGGCGAGAGGGGTTCGGTTTAAGGCTGGACACTTCAACAGCATTGTTGGGCGCCTGGTAAGAAGCCACCAAGATGACCATTAGAGCAGCCAGAGCAGTAAAATACATGATGGTTATGTCCTGAAGGCGAAGGTTTTTGCTGAAGATCCGCATCCCCAACGACAGATCGTAATGAGCTTCAGTAAAACAGCGAACAGAGTCTCTCAGGTTTTCTTTCCACCTCTATTTATTTTCTTTCTCTTTAACCAAAGTTGAACTGGAGTTCAATCCAAAATGTTTTGTGGAAACTTTTTCTCCAGAGCTGTAAAATTCTCCAAACTCAAGCACTCACTGTGTTTCTCTTCTTTGCATTCTGGCCACGGCAGAATCCCTTTCAGTGGTCATTCGAGGATTGTTGTTTTTTTTTTCTTCACATATTTCCTATCCTCTCAGGCTCTCGTTTTCTGAAAAGTTTGACTTTCTTTTAAAAACCACCAGTTTCCCAGTGTTTAGGTTTCTCTGTCTCCAAACCTTTTTGGGTATTGTCTCTGAGCAACTGCCCGGTCTCTGTCTGTCTCATCCACCTCTCTGGTTTTTAAGAGACTCCTCCCTTGTGATTTGTCTGTTTTTATCCAGCCTAATGGTATTACATTTGTTGAGGAAAATTGGATTGTATTCTTTAGGCCCTGGGGTCAACCATGATTCTGCACATCTGCCAGACCCTAATTGATCCAAATTCAACCATGGACATTATCAGCGACAATCAGCTTAAGCTAACCAAACTTTATTGCTGACTCCATCTTTGTCGCTTTGTCTTTTTGCTCGGTAAACATGTATCATATTAAAATTTTGTTTTATAACTAGCTTTTTTGGGTATTTAAAAAAGCAGATTTAGGGGGCAGCAAACGGAGGAGTAAACAGGGCATTAACTTATTAGGCCCATTCCTTAAGCCACTGCCTGAGGCTGCAGAAGACCTAATCAAGCTGTCAATTATGGGGTTCAAAAGCAGAAAGGACATGGTTTTAAAGGTTAGAAAAGTCCCTGCGGAAACCTGTTTGTGTGTCGTGTATGTGTTTGCATGTGGCAAAATAGAGGACGAATTGGAAGAATGAAAGACTGCTATCACAGTATTTCTACCTTCTGCATATATTTGAGTATTTTTGCATCAGATAAGGAAATAATGGGTTGATATTTGAGAAGGATTGTCAGGCTAGCTGGAAGTTACTGCTGGCAAGATTTACAGGAAAATGCCGGGCACGTATTCCCCTTATACATGACCTTTTACATTTCAACGAGCCACTGGTGAGCTATACGGGTGTAATCCAGAACCCAGTGGCTGTACTTTCAGGTTTCGGGTACAGGTGCACCCTTCTGACTGTACACACCCCCAAAAAGACCAAAAAATATTAAAATACTGACTTTTAGTCTGGTTTCCGGCTATTCGGATGGATGGGCATTTTACAGGAAATGCAATTTCTGTTCCACATTGGTTCAGCGCACGTCTATCTTTTCTATAGACGTAATTAAATCACTTTCCCTAAATATCAGGGGCTAGTTGTCTTCAATCAATATGCAGATTTTGTGTATTCAATATTGCACATGATGTCTGACTACGTTTTTTTCCCAGAAGAGACTCATTATGAGAAAGGTTTAGATCAGAGCAGACAACGGACAGCAGATGAGAAAGGCTGGTTAATGTAATAAACTCTGTTACTCCCTGAGGCAAAAAAGATCTGTGTGTCCTTTTAGTGTCTCTGGCCTTCATTTGAGGCTCAGTAATCCTCTCTCTCTTTCTCTTTACATCTCTCTCTTTCTGTAAAATAATTGTCTCTTTTTTATCTTTCACACCACCACTTTTCAGCCTCCTGTTTCTGCTCCATTACACTGCTCTGTATTCACTACTGATCACTCTGTTCCCATCACTTCTTGGCTTCTCATATCTCATACATGCGCACTTATCTTTCTGCTGCCACTACTGATGTGTCAGCAAACAAAAACAAGATGAGACGCCGTAAAGTCAGCTGGGATCTGGAAGGAAAGGGCGAGGGGAGTGGGGAACAGATTTAGAATAAATTAGGCTTCTTTGTCTGATTATGTTTGCTTTGAAAAAAAAAAGAGGTTTTTAGTCTATGTCATGTCTAGATCAATGCGCATATTGCCTCCAACACCTCTGCACCATGCAATGATTTTGAGTCATGATAAAGAGAAGCACTAACTCGTAGAAAACAATTATACTGGGGATGAAAAACCAGATTATGAATATCGTATTATTGCATTCTGTTAAGCTAAGGAATGGTTTACATTGCATTTAAAGTCTGTGTGCACTGCATTTCATGTAAAAATGTTTATACTATGTTTTTACTAATGTCTGTACCTTCTTAAAAATATCAATCTACCAAAACTAAATGATGAAGACATTTTGGCTCTGGATTTATCTTTTTCAGAAGCCCTGCAGCATCTCCCAAACAATAAAGCTCCAACTTTGCTGCTGGTTCAGGGCACATCTGCTTGCTGACACCTTGAAAGTAGAGGGTGAGTGTGTGTGCATGTGTTTTTATGTCTCTCTGTGTGTCATTAGTGGGTGGATGAGAGTGAGTGAATGAGCAAAGGGTCTGTATGAGTGTATGTGTGCATGGCTGGGTCTGGGGCTTGCTGAGCCTTCATCCCTGTGGGACATGGTCACCACTCCCTGCTGGACGCTTCTGCCCCTCCCTGAGATGCAGGTCCTTTTTGGTTCTCAACTCGTACCAGGGTGGCTGGCCTCTAGTAAGATTGACTGCCCATTTGCTATTGTTCTCTGGGACTCTCACCCTTTGGCCGTGGACACCCCATCTGGGGCCTCCCTCTTTCTCCTGCTTGGATGGATGTTGCAGGTGTTGCCAAGATGTGTCACCTTGGGTCTTTGGTACTCTTGGGGGCTGTGGATGGTGTGGTTGTCCTGGTTCCATATGCCTCTGGTTTGGTCTAGCCATTTTAGCTCGCCTCTCTTTAAGGACATCGTCACTTTAAGCCAACTCTCCCCTCATTGGCTGCCCTTTGTCGATAAAAGGTTTGATCAGCATTGAGAGCATACTGAAGCCTTTTGGCCTCGCAGGGACTAATTGTACAGAAGATGACTTTATTATACAAAACTTTGTCCATTACTAACACAGGCATTTACCAATGTAAGACTATATAATAGAAAACTCACAAAAGGCTTTAAATGTGTTTCCCTCCACCAGCTTTTCTCATGGGTTAAGCACACAAAAGCCTGTGTGGAAGCACAATGAATGAAAGATTATAGAAAAATGAGTTTTGTACCTCACTACAGTGGAAAAGTTAATTAAAGCAGAAATGCAATGGAAAACAGCCCTGCATCTCACAATAGACTTTTTCTTTTGAGTGACATCTGTTTGTACTGCATTCACTACATTCACTTTGCTACCTGTCCTTTTAATGTCTGCCTTTCTGTTGTTTTACATCTATTTTTCTTGTTTGTTATGTATTCCTGTTGTCTTATTATTTATGTTTCCTGCACAGTTGGTGTGGAGCACCCACAATTTCACTGTACATGTACAGTGACAATCAAGGACTATTCTATTCTATTCTACTCTATTCTACTCTAGTCTTTATGAATATATGAGAATATTTTCAGTTTTCTACATCAGTGCAACTTTTAAGATTTGACATGTAGTCTTTTAATCATGTCATTGTCTTGCATCATCGTCTTCTGTTGCTGTGATTTAATGAGCTGTGACTATAGGGAATTTCATTCCCTGGATGGGAAATTAAACTAGATCATATTAATATCAATAAATCAAATGAATACATTTGTTCTACTGTTGGCATCGGATCTGTTTTTGAGTTATATCATACTTGAAGTATTTAAAGTAATGCAATATTTGCTGAACAATGACTGTTACAACAACAAGTGACAATGAGGGAAAGGCTGTGTAACTGGCACATACTGACTGTGTTAAAGTTAGCTAATGTTAGTCACAATGAGCTACCAGAGTAAGCAAAACTGGAGCATCAAGCCCCAGAGTGTAGCTAAGTGAGAAAGATTGTTTTATTGATTGTGAATTTCAATTTTCTGTTACTCAACGAGGATTGTTTTACTTCTTCTTTCTAAAGTTACATATAGTGTCACTTAGACTTCAAATGCTCACGCAGTGATCCTGTGATTCGGGGCCCCTAAGGGTGTGGGGCTCCAAGGCAGTAGCCCACTTTTGCCTGTCTGTTTGCTAATCCAGCTTTGAGGGGGGAAGAGGACTGTACTAAGATGTGGAATTAAACTCCAACAAAACTGATGTTACTTAGTGCACTTTTATTAAATTCTGCTACTGAATCAGAAGCAGAAGCTTTCACAGACTGGCCACTCTGACACACATCACCTTGTTTGCAAGTGTGTATACACACACACACACACACACACACACACATACACACACACACACATGCACAGAGAGAGAAAGAGAAAGAGAGAGAGAGGGAGAAATGGATAAAAGCCAAATTCACCTTGACGTGACCACTCCAAGCAGCCATCTCATTCTCTGCTTGTATAAATATTTCAACACGGCAGACTCTCAAAGTGTACTAATCTCCAATGCTTTCAGTTTAGAAAAATGAATGCAATAAAAAGTCACACTGCTATCCTTAATATGATAGCAAACTACCTCTTGTCTGATCAAAACGTATGAAGCCAGCAGCTTTAGGGTGAATTGGATAATTGGAAGAGAGGCTGGACTACGAGGTAGGAAACGAGTGAAAGAAGTGGAGGGAATAAGAGGTGAAACAATTTAGATTCAGAGGCGGATCAACATAGAGAATATTGTGGCACATATGGATCTCATACAGTCTTTCTCATCCACAGATATGTCCTAATATGTCCTCTAGTCTTGAGGATTTGTTAGGGACTGAATAAGGAGAATTTTACAGAGGGACACATAAAGAAGGACTTTTCTCAGGACAGTTGTGGGATTCTAAGACAAGATAAGATAAGATAAGATAAGATAAGATAAGATAAGATAAGATAAGATAAGATAAGATAAGATAAGATAAGATAAGATAACCTTTATTACTTCCACACGAGGGAAATTTGTTTTGTTACAGCAGAAAGTAGATAGTGCAAAGTTACATAGAAAAATTAGAAAAACACTGGAATAAGATAAGAAAAAGATACTGTACACAACTGTACACAATAGAACAGAATAAAATGAAATACTATATACAATAGAATAAAATAGAATAGAATAAAATAAAATACAAATGCAATATCAATTGAGTATAATACAACGATGATAGAAAAGAGTGGAGTTTAATGAATGCTTTGTTCCCGACAGAGGAACGGTTTGTTTTTCCAACTTGGCTGAACCATGGGGATAGGACACGTGTAATTTTTTAAATTATCTTTATAGATTTGGCTGCAGCATAAGCGTATAGCATGAATGATTAACTGCGGCCACTGTAAGTGGGAATCTTAATTAATCTCCTCCCCTGAATGTGGCAGGAGCTTCAGGGTCCCAGTGTACATAGTGAAGGTTACTTCTCGCCACCTCCTCACCATGCTCTTGTCAGCTGTTAGTTTTTTTGTTGTTGGGGGTTTTTTTTTTTTGTTTGTTTGTTTTTTGGACAAGTGATAATGCAACTAATTTTATATCCAATGCAGTTGTGTATCAGTGCATGTTTGTAAGTGGGCTTCAGAAATTTTGGTGACATCTTTTAACAGAGGAGCTTTGCATGCCTGGAAGTCCCGCCAAACACCTCACGCACGTCAACTTGGAAGGCGAAAATCAACAGCATGTTGTTTCTCTCTTTTAAATCCCCCCTTCTCTCTAAGCACCCACAGCCAATCTGAGCCTGTGACTAAAGCGCCATCTCCCAGACTGTACACTCCAGGCTGCATTTAGTAGTCTCTGGGTGTGCAGGCACTGAGCCACCTCTGGATTTAAAGCGCAGTTTACTCGTTTCCGCGCAGTTCCGGACATCGCTCTGAAAGAATCAGCAAACGTACGGAAATCCAACAGCTACCAATACTCTTTGTGACCACTTATCTGCAGAGACTTTGTGGCTTTCTGCTGCTTAGTCGCATTTTTTAAGCGAGAACGTTCACATGCGGATCATACTGTGAATAGGAAGAAAGGGGGAAAATCCGGCGGAACCTGGAGTAGCACAACAACAAATATCTGACCTCGACCTCCCTGGACGGTACTGAACTGGCTGTTGAAATAGAGATGGCGAGATTTCGCATCACCCCGTCTCCTCCTCCAACACACATGCTGCCGAGGCTGATGATGATGTTTGCGTAGGAGTGTTTTATTTTGCGGACAGCTTCGGTTAACCAGTAGGAACCGTTCAAACAACTCCAGACAATCGGTGGATGGAATTGTGTGCTGCTGCCTGCCTGCTTCAAAAGCATCTTCCACAGATCACATCATACCATTGTTACCGGAGTGCTTTTCAGTGGTCTCTCTGCAAGTCCGGAACTGGAAAGAAAATGTTTTGCATGGCAACGCTGTGCGTGGAGAAGTAGTCTTCAGTACAAAGAATACGAATGTTAAAGGTGGACATTTTTTGTTTGTTTGTTTGCAAAGGGCGTATCTGCTAGTTTTTAATTATCAACTAAAGAGGAACCAGGCCCGGTGGGTTTTATTTTGACCTGAGTCGAACTCCAGCTCCACTTTGGTCGCAGGCACTTCAGCGTTTAGTTCGTATCTTTACCGACATTGGAGGCTTTTTTTTCTCGGCGTGTTCACCGGTGTCATTATTCGTCACTGAGGTTGACAGACTACAGCCTGCCGAGGTCGGGACCTGAGCCCCAAGGAGCCACCCCTACCCTCAATGTGACCCGGCGAATTCCTCTTATCTCTGAAGGTAATGCTTTACCCTTGAAGGAAGAAAGATTGTGTTGTCCCACGATGTTTCCTTTGTGTTTCTTTATCGACTGTGATTATCAAGTCATGCATGTTGTTTTTGTTTTAGACATGGAGAAACGATAGATAGATAGATAGATAGATAGATAGATAGATAGATAGATAGATAGATAGATAGATAGATAGATAGATAGATAGATAGATAGATAGATAGATAGATTCTAATTTCAGCACCACGGAGAGAGGCAGATACTTTCCATATGTTAGGTTGGGAGAAGTCTACTCTTTTCCACATTTCAAAACTTGAAAGTTGTTTACATGCACTGTGTACATGTGGAGTGTTTTTCAAAATCTTTAAGTAATTTAACACAGAGAGATGCCTGTATGTACAGACACAGTATAAAGGGTAAAGACAGAGGGCAGCTTCAGTGCTTTGTATAAAACACATGCTGGCTGGCTGGTTTGCCACAAGCTGACAAAACAGCATGGCTTGTGAGCCACAGTTACTGTCACCAACTGTTAGCTATGGTCATATCCAAACTGTTGTATGCAGATATTTTTAGGCTTGGTGCAAATGAATCTCCAGCAGCATAAAAGCCCCGCAATGCTAAAATATCTCACTACATGGAGTTAAAATGACAAAATTCCTTAGGGAATGTCGCACATGACGCAACCCACCCTCTAGTGATTGTTTTGGAAACACTATGGTGCCTGTAGTAGCAATTAGCCAGCAAAAATGTCAACTAACCAGTGAATTTGGGCAAGCTTTAACAGTGTTTTGGTCTAATAATAGAAATGATTTTAGTATTTTTTAAAACTTTTTAAAATCAATTTCATTCCATATTTTTTTTCATGTTTTTGCTGTTAAGTGGATGGTTGGAGGGATCAGAGGAGTGTAAGGAAAAGTTATTCAGTCTTATGTTAAGCTCTATTGGATGCTTTAACTACCCACGAAGCAATAATCACTGTTCTCTACTGTCTTGCTATATCCGCAGAATTAACTTGAAGTCACTGCTTGTGTGTGTTTGTTTACTTGAGCTCATATTTCCAAATGTCTTACTTTCACCTGCACTTGCTGCACTTCAGCTTTGCTATAACAGGGATGGTTGGACACTTACTTAGAGTTATAACTTGCAGACCTTGCCTACATGGCAGTTCACTGGTACTTCTGTGAATCTGAGACTGTTACTGTCACATGTTACCATATTACTTTAAGCTAGTCAGTTTCTTACAAGAAAATAAATATAGATTGTCATTTTAGAGGGCCTGAAACAATCAACAATAAGGTGGGGCTTGTGTTCCCATAGCGACCTCCTCAATGGCCCTCAGATTAACCTTGGCCCCCAGGGAGAGGTGTTATATTCCAGCATGTGTGCACACACAAACACACATTCAAACACACTGAAGTCCCCCTCTGAGCATAAGAGACTTGTCTGTCTTCTGCTGCTCTCCAAGCCTCATAGTTTTCACAGCAGCAGCAAGATGAGGAGGACAGAGGGAGCTGAAGGACAAGCAGGATGAGTAGGATGGAAAAGCAAATTTCAAAGACAAACAGGTGATGAAAAAAGATGAGGAAAGGTGTAGAGAGAAGAGCATATAGAATACAGAGCAAAAGGAATGACGAAGCAGAGAAGAAGGAGGAGGGAAGGCTTGAATAGACAAGTGTGAATGCAGTTACAGAGGCACGTTTACTTTTCCATGGGCTTTTTCAAGTGTATTCACATATCAGCTTAATTACTGTTAAAATGCATTATATTGGGAAAGGGAATCATTATGGCTATGCTTTGGCTGACATGGAGAGGGGGATTGGAGTGGATGGGTTGAGGCTGGGGGAAGGGAATATTGCTGTTCACTGATCATGTTAAACAGTCACCACCCGTTCCGCCCTTCCTCCATGCATCACTCGTCCCCTCCCCCTCAGCATCACATTCTGCTCTCCCCTTTCAGCTACACCCTGACATGCTCACACATCCCACTCAGGCACAGATGTGTTCCAACACAGAGCCACAGTGTGGCCAACACACATTCAGCCACAGGCACATACGTGCACGCGGGCTGTTGGTCAGCTGGACTCATCCCTGTGAGTGATTTGTAAAAAACTGAAGCTCATTCAAAAGAGAAGACGAAATGTGAGGGAGGTGTGGAAAGAGAACATGAAAAGGGTGTGGAGAAATAAATAAAAAAATCTTGTGCTTCTTTTATGACAATCCCTGTCTATTATATTTGTGCATGCCTTTGGAGAGAGTCATAACTTACTGTTCTTCCATAGAAGGGTGCTGCAGTGGTTAGCACTTTTATTTCACAGCAAGAGGGATCTGGGTTTGAATCTGCTGGTCATCTGAAGAGGTTACATTGAAGAGGACGCGATGTCCTCTCACTTTTAGCTGTATTTAAACACACATGATTATCTTTTTATTCATGTTTTTTCAAAGACCGAAGAGGCACCTTTCCCCTGTGACTTTTGAATCAAGTCTCAGTGTTGCTTAGATATCTGGCAAAATCATCTTCAGCGAGGTTTAGAAGGCAGCAATCATGGTCTGAATGCACTGCTGTGCCAAACACATTTGCTTTGCCAAAAGGCAAAGCAAATGTGTTCGCCAATTTCTCCTTTACCATATGCCTCATTTATATAGGCACAGGGTAGCAAAGCCAGAAATGACAGGTGGAAGAAAAAAGAGAAAGAAACGGGGAAAAAAAAGGGAAGCGAAAGAGAATGAGTAAAATAAAAAGGGGGAACATATGAGAAAAGATATAAATAAAGGACAAGCACAAATAATTTCACCAAGTTTTTACTGTGTGTAAACATAAGTATATATGTATAAATTATTAATGTGGCATTCTTACACAAAAATCCAGTAGCATCTAGGGAGCATCACTACATTTACTTCACAAATGTGTCAATTTTTTAGATAGTCAGACAAGTTGTAAACAAACAGTTGTTTACCTAAAACAAATTCCAGTGTATTATATCTACAAACTCGTAAACCCCAGTTAAGTAGGTTTTGTAGGCAAGATCATAGTTGATACTGGCAGCAGTTGTTCAGAGATACTTCTATTACTGTCTTCAGTTTGAAAACCTAAAAGGGAATCATAACAAAGGAAAAATGGGGAATCTCCCTGATAATTTACCAGCTAAAAATCAGTGTTGATGACTCAGCTGGAAGACCCGAGCTACAAAAATAAGATCCATTCTGTAAAGAGACAAATTTTTTCAACTGTTGGGCTAGTGGCCTGTCTATGCCCTTCAGCACTGTATGTATATTACATAAGAAACCTAATGGTAAGCGGCACATTGCTCAGACTAAGTTTACAATTTGCATTGCATCTGTAATCTACAGTATTCATTGCAAGGGAGCCTCGGGGCGTTCTCATTACAGGCTTCATGGTCCAAAGCTCTTTCCCAAGCCTCTACGCTCATCACTGGAGCATGCAAGCATTGCTGTTAATGTTAAATCTGAAACTAAAAAGTGCCAAATGTCTGCACACTCCTTTGGAAATTGATGACGCGAAAAGGAAAGACAAGCAAGCTCAGCAATGTCGTGAATTGCGTTACCATAAAAGTTATTAAACAAGACAAAAGTAGACATTAGAAGAGAGTATCTTATTCATAAATCTTGTTCTCTCTTTCCAATGTGTTGTATTGTATTACTCTTTTTTTAAATTATTCTGTGCTTCATTTTGATCTGCTTGGAGATTTACATACACAGAGTGAACTGGGTGAAGTCATTTCAGGTACAGTCAGGTTGAAACTTTTAGCAGTAAACCACCCACTCAAAAAATGAAATAGGCAATGCTAAAATGTCACTCTGTAATAGCCCCGTCGCCATAGTAACTGGAGACCCATTCATACTTTTAGACACACTGCTTCTGGAGCGCTGACCATTAGCACTAACAATCAAGCCATCACCAGTCTTAAGCTTAGCACATTTCCTTCAACCGTCCATCTTTATGTTCCACTAGACGTGGGCATTCGTCTCAGCCTCTGACAGCACCCTATGCAACCTTTGTATGTCTCTTCTTTGTTCTCTGCTTATTTCTGTATTTCAACACCCTCCTTTTGCTTGTGCCTTTCCCCCGAAATTACTGCTTCTGCTAATTTCTCCATTGAATTTACTTTGGTGCATGGATTTTTGAAGTAGGGAGCTGGAAGGTTGAGCCAGCTGCTTAAGACATTTGCATTCTCACATGCACCTCTGTGACGTAATTTTTAGAAAAGATCAATGCTGCAGTAGATGCATAAAAAAAACTCTCAAGTTTTATTTTTTTAATGAAAGAAGCTTGATGCTACAATCACACAGATGTGAGCAGTATATTGTTTCTAAAGCGGCATGTTCAGGAGGAAGAAAAAGCAGAGGAACTTTGTGTCAATGCAAAATATTCATGTGAGTCACAGTTTAATTTTTTTGTGACTGTGTATATTTTTGTGTGTATCTGGTGGATATGAGCCCCCATAGGGCATTTCCCCCCCCCCATTTGCCACAGCTGTGTGATGAATTCACCCGTGCTTCAGATGTGTAGTAACTAGCGATCCTCCCGAGAATTTTCCGAGTTACGTAACTTCTTGTAAATGTGGTTGTTTGACAGACTCAGAATGTGCAAAGTGTTGCACAGCAGGATCTATCCATCTCCATGTCAGCTGCAGTGTATTTGCCTGTAAATGGCACTATTGTTCAAAGTGATGCTTAAAACAGGCCACACCACTGCAAGGCAGTGTATACCAGCTGAGCACAGAGTAGAGAGGGAGACAAAGGGAGCATGGTAAATGGAAGGAAAAGCTAAAGATTCAAAGAATGGGCATAAGCAAAGAGACACAGAAGGGGCAGGTGGAGGAAGACAGAAATAGTGGAAAGCAAAAAAAAGGAAAGAGGAGTAATGGGGATATAAACTAATGAAGGAGAAGAGCTGACCATAGAGAAAGCTTCCTGGTAAGCACAGAAAATAAAAATGTATACACAGCCCAGTTTAGCCTATTTAAAGTTGAGCTACAACCCAGTCACTGTG